TGCCAATATGTCCATTTAAAATTATACACTTGTGCCTGCGTTTGTTTATATACATGATGGCCTCAATGGTAAAGTCATCTACACTTAAGTTCAACAGATCTTTCAGACTGACTTGATTCATTAGTACAGTTTTTTAGATTTCTTCAAGGGTTTTCTTGGAGCTATGGCATCCCTGCTTTGTGTGATGTTTCCCAGAGTTGGTCAACTGTTCTATGCTGAGAGAGCAAGTTATACTGGATAAAACCCTGTGTGATAAACTTAAATCCTCTCACCTGCATGTATAGCAGGGATGGAGGGCATAGTTTCCGGAAGCGAGGCAGGGATCCACCAGCTTGAAGCTAGATGCAGAACACCAGAGGCAACGTCTGCAATAAATCGCTTACCCAGGGAGACTTGTCCAGGTGTCCATGATTTATTCTGCTTGACCATTCAGAGATGAAGCCACTCTACCAAAGATCTGCCACATGATAATGATGTGTTCACTCTCATTGATCTATGAGCTACCTTGAGGTAAGACTGTAAACAGTCTTGTTTATCGATACTATGAATATCAAGTCTGTCATTATTTCCCTGTTAATTTTATCTCCTTTTTACTGATGTGATAAAAATTAAGCCAATCCATAATTTCTCACAAAACAAACTCAGTAAACCACTTCTATCTATAATAATTATTTATTAATTTTTTTTAAAAAATAATTCACAAATGAGAAAAACATATATAATAGCAACAACACTTAAAGGGTTAAGAAATAAAAAAACAACAATTAATTCCAAAAACTCACCCTAGATATTTTTTTAAATTATAAAACAACAAGAAATGAATACAAGAAATGCATGTAAAATGAACAAAAATATGATTTAAACATCTGCCTGACCTATTTAAAAAAAAAAGGCAAATAACCTTACTACATAGCATAAGAGAAACATGGCAAGCATGCATTCACAAGAACATAATGACAATTCGCTTCTCAATAGATCTGTATTCACTAACAACAAAAGAAGCAAGCTACTTGGAAAATCATATGTGCAGACAGAGAGAAACAATGTATAAACATAATGAATGGTAAATATGTACATTATGTGAGAAATGATGGCTGAGATAAATGAAACAGAGAGGCAGAGGTCAGCATGTAGTCTTGAATATGCTGTAGCCATCAAGCAGGTTAGCAACCAACGTCCAGACAATGCCAGCCAGCTAAGGAAGCCATGTGTGACGTGCCAAACTCTTCCTGCATTCATCACTTACTCAGCCTGCCCTCTTCTAGCCTGCAATTAGAAGTACTTTACTTTCATTCACACACACATACACATATATACCCATACTATTTTGCCATCTGCATGATCCATAACCAATGAGATGAATCCTAGAGGTACTCCAAGGTGCTGTGAAAGATGTCACCCAGTAACAATTATGTCCACACTAAATCTACAGACTTCGGACTTAAAACTAACAATATACATTCTTCTTGTCGTCTTCCAGTCAGCTGACCAATCACTGTCTTGATTATTTTAGTATATTCTTAACAGTATATGTTTCTGCAAGTGTTTCAAGTCATAATTTTTCCCAAAAACACATAAAAGTCCTGCATATTCTTAACATTTCACATCTTATTTTCTCTTGTAAAGCCAACAGTTTGGCCAAGCTTTTCCTTTCTTTACTTTATTGCTGTACATTATTTCAGTTTAAAAAAATTAGATAAAAAGACTGCAACAGACAACAATATCTCCCTTCAGGACCAGATATAAATATATGAAAGTGCTGCACATAGATTTCTTATCTGAAGCATGCCAGACACAGTGATGTGCCCTCATAATTATACAGGGAAATGTCATCAAGCTGTAGTCTGAGGAAACTGTATCTCTGGACTAGGACTGCTGGCTGGAGAAATTGGAGAAACTGTCCAAGAGGAAGTAAATTCTATGGACTAGAGGATGTGAGCTCACTGGGCTTGGGCAGGCGAGTTTGGCACCTTTGTGACGATCAGTCAACGATAACTGTAATTTGTTCAAGATCATTCACTCTTCAGCAAAACATCCAAAGCATCTGTAAAAATAAAAGCATAAATTACTCCTTTGCAATGGGCTGTCCTGGGAAAGTAAAGACAGCCGGCGTAATGCTGACCACATTACCCACAGAGTGCTGATGGTCTGTAAAAATATGGGACGCTCTGCCCATATGCCAGATGCGCCGAAAGGCGTGAAAAGGGAACTTTTATGGGCAACACAAATCTTCAGGCTGAAATATTGACTGTCCTGATTGTGCAAGAGGGCAGGAGATATGACAACAGATCCCCCCCCCCCCCCACCCCGGTTGTGCAAGAGGGCAGGAGATATGACAGCAGATCCCCCCCCCCCCCCCCCCCCCCCCACAGTGATACTGGCACACACTGGCTCAGTTAGCAGATATCCCACTTTCCTGGTCATCTATATTTCTTCTTGCAATCTTCTTCAAATGACTAACAAAAAATTCAAACATAAATGTAACTGTTAGAACAAGGATCTCTGCAGAATTTACTTTAAGCATCACTACAAATCTGGGTCATTTTCTAGATCTCAAATCGGAGTAACCATCATATACTTTAACAGATCAGCTAAGCTGTCATTGCAGACTGAAGACTGCTTGCTCTCAGTGACTCATGTGTGCCTAGGACATGAGAGGACACTTCCCTGCCTACAGTAAAAGGGTATAGTTGTGCATCCTTTACAGGAAGCTGCAGAAACAACCCCGGTTGTTTGGTTTTACTAGGCAACTTCACAGTTAGTAGTTTGCTACTGCTCTGTGGTGGTTGGCTCTAGCCGCTATCAATGAAATCAACACAAGGGCAGTCGATGCCATATTGCATGCAGCTAGAATCGAACCAGGTACCTCAAAAGTGTTTGCAACGCCTAAGCCTAAGATGCTTACATTTATATATATATATTTTAAACTGGGAAAGAACAAAAACATTTTTTTTTAAATGACACGTTAATTCGCTGCTACAGACTCTGCAACCTCCATTACCTGTGTGCTAAGCAAGTTTCCCACTGAACCTTTCCCCTGCTTTGAACACTTCTTTATCCTTCAACCACAAAGGATACGTCGGCGGTAATAGCTAAATTGTGTACACCTAAACATATTTACTGATCTAAACGCATGTGATAGGGTTTTTTATAATATGTAAATGGTTATCTGGGTCTGATTTAACCTTCAAGAATTAGTTCAAAATTGTGTTTTTACATCCATAACAATGAGGACACAGAAGATGCAGAAATACACCCTTAGCCTACATGGCAAATGTATAACTACGTCCATAGCAGCAAGTGAAATTGTCATGAATATTTATTTAACAAAAAGATTGTTATCAGTATAAATATCATCATCATCATCATGTGCCATGCCAACTGGCGTAGGCGCTCATGCATGTCCACAGATCACGATTCCTAATTGACTGCAACAGCTCTCTTGATATTCCTCCATGCCATCGTTTTAACCCATCCAGCATCCTCTCCTCTTGTCTGCCATCGTTTTAACCCATCCAGCATCCTCTCTCTTGGTCTGCCTCTATCCCTTTTTTCCACTGATCTATCCAGTTGTCACGATGTTCTCCAATGTCTCTCTTCTCATTATGTGGCCAAAGAACAGTGTTTGTCTTTCTTATTGTTGAATATAGAGAGCTACTTTCATTAGCCTCTTTCAAGCAATCGCTGTTAGTATAAATATAACCTGCAAAATATTCTAGCCCACATTCACAAACAGTGATGCATATTTAATATTTAATTTAAACACACAGACTTTTAATCCATAGTGTTGACAATCCTGTTTTTGCTCCCAGCCTTGTGTCCCTAGTACTTTCAATCAATCCTGTGTTTGCTCCCAGCATTGTGTCCCAAGTACTTTCAATCAATCCTGTGTTTGCTCCCAGGCTTGTGTCCCAAGTACTTTCAATCAATCCTGTTTTTGCTCCCAGCCTTGTGTCCTAAGTACTTTCAATCAATCCTGTTTTTGCTCCCAGCCTTGTGTCCTAAGTACTTTCAATCAATCCTGTTTTTGCTCCCAGCCTTGTGTCCTAAGTACTTTCAATCAATCCTGTTTTTGCTCCCAGGCTTATGTCCTAAGTACTTTCAATCAATCCTGTGTTTGCTCCCAGCCTTGTGTCCCAAGTACTTTCAATCAATCCTGTATTTGCTCCCAGCCTTGTGTCCCAAGTACTTTCAATCAATCCTGTGTTTGCTCCCAGCCTTGTGTCCTAAGTACTTTCAATCAATCCTGTGTTTGCTCCCAGCCTTGTGTCCTAAGTACTTTCAATCAATCCTGTGTTTGCTCCCAGCCTTGTGTCCTAAGTACTTTCAATCAATCCTGTTTTTGCTCCTAGCCTTGTGTCCTAAGTACTTTCAATCAATCCTGTTTTTGCTCCCAGCCTTGTGTCCTAAGTACTTTCAATCAATCCTGTTTTTGCTCCCAGCCTTGTGTCCTAAGTACTTTCAATCAATCCTGTTTTTGCTCCCAGCCTTGTGTCCTAAGTACTTTCAATCAATCCTGTTTTTGCTCCCAGCCTTGTGTCCTAAGTACTTTCAATCAATCCTGTTTTTGCTCCCAGGCTTATGTCCTAAGTACTTTCAATCAATCCTGTGTTTGCTCCCAGCCTTGTGTCCCAAGTACTTTCAATCAATCCTGTTTTTGCTCCCAGCCTTGTGTCCTAGGTACTTTCAATCAATCCTGTTTTTGCTCCCAGGCTTGTCTCAGGTACTTTCAATCAATCCTGTTTTTGCTCCCAGCCTTGTGTCCTAAGTACTTTCAATCAATTCTGACTGAAGGTTCTTTTTAACCATGCCAAATAGCATTGATGATTTGAAGACCTAATTTTTGTGTGTGTGTTAACAAATCATTTCTATTACTTCCAAGTTTACATTCTCCATAATAGAACAACTGCTCTAATGTTGTCTGGCACAGGCAACAACAACAGCTTTCTTTCAAACAAACATTGCTTCAATGATAAAGATAAACGGACACCTACCTAATTTTAGCTGTGACGACCCTTTTTCTTTATACGTCGCCGAAAGAAGCAGCACCTGGGGAAGAGACATTTTTTAAATCTCATTTAATATCTGAATGAGAGATAATCGATTTGAACTTGTTTATTGTGTCCTTGCCCCTGTTTATATTCGATTGGCACTGGTTCGATGTGTCCTCCTCTTTCCTGTTTATATTCAACTGCCACTTGTTTGGTCTTTTTCAGGTGTCATGTGAGAAGAGTGACGTTCTGTAAAGAAAATGCTGTTTGATGCTTATCTCTCCAAATGTGATTTGTTTCATGTTACTGAAAATATATTCTTTTTATCCTTTTGATTTCTAAATACTTTACTTCTGTTATCATCTGCTGTAACATGCCAAAGAGAAGCTTCAAATGAGGGAAAAAAAAGCAAGCTGGCTGCTATGTGAATAGATACACTTGAACTAGTTCCATGTGACATGTATTCAACCAAAAGAAACAAATATAACTATGAGGAAACGTGATCAAAGTACGGATGTTGCTGTAACGATGTGTACATACTTAGTTTCATCATTGACTTCAACCTCTTGCTGAGCAGCAACTGGAGTACTGCTGAGATGAACAGTATCATCAGGACCCAGTTCTCCATTTGTGGAACTAACAACCTGCAAATAACAAATATATAATAATAAATAATAAACTTCAGAAATATGAAACAATTGCATCCAACCATACCACAACAAACAAACTACAGCATGGATAACATTAGTGATGACAATGCTACAGGTAAAGCAATTCCTACAATCACAGCTGCTGCAGTATACTTTCAGTGCACTAGATGATGATTATGTATATGAGAGTTATTTACTTCATGCAATACACTACTAATTTTTATACACACAAATTATACATACATATATATATATTATATATATATATATTTATATATATATATATATATATATATATATATATATATATATATATATATATATATATATATATATATATATATATATAGGACAGCCCCCACTGTGTTATAAGCAATACAATAACATTTCTACTAACATAATGACAGCGGAGATATTTCTATATCAACTTGAACATATCTGCTTGGGCTGCACTCTAGAAAAGCAGTTTTCACTCTCAAGCCAGGTGTACCTATGTTCAGGTTTCACTCTCAAACCAGGCGAATCTAGGTTCAGGTTTCACTCTCAAATCAGGCGAATCTATGTTCAGGTTTCACTTTCAAATCAGGCGAATCTATGTTCAGGTTTCACTTTCAAACTAGGTGAATCTATGTTCAGGTTTCACTCTCAAACCAGGTGAATCTATGTTCAGGTTTCACTCTCAAACCAGGTGAATCTATGTTCAGGTTTTACTCTCATACCAGGTGAATCTATGTCCAGGTTTTACTCTCATACCAGGTGAATCTATGTTCAGGTTTCACTCTCAAACCAGGTGAATCTATGTTCAGGTTTTTCTCAAGATAGGTGAACCTATTTTCCAGTTTCATTCTATCTCAAATACCTGATGCACTGATGTCCAGGTTTCCCATGCCTGGTCACTGATGTCCAGGTTTCTCAAGTCTGGTCACTGATGTCCAGGTTTTCCAAGCCTGGTCACTGATGTCCAGGTTTCCCAAGCCTGGTCACTGATGTCCAGGTTTTCCAAGCCTGGTCACTGATGCCCAGGTTTCATTCTCAAGCCTGGTCACTGATGTCCAGGTTTCTCAAGTCTGGTCACTGATGTCCAGGTTTCACTCTCAAGCCTGGTTACTGATGTCCAGGTTTCTCAAATCTGGTCACTGATGTCCAGGTTTCACTCTCAAGCCTGGTCACTGATGTCCAGGTTTTGCTCTCGTCTGGTGCATGTATTTTCACGCTTTACTCTATCTCCAGTCCATTGCACCAATACTCAGGCTTCACTCTCTCCCATCTGATGCACAGATGTTCAGGTTTCGTTCTCAAGTCTACTGCATTGATGTTTAGGTTTCAAGATAGCTCCAATATCTGTTGCACTGGTTCAGGTTTCACTCTGAAGTTTGGTGCAATGATGTCCAGGTTTCACCCTCTCTCCAATCTGGTGTACTAATGTTCAGGTTTCACTCTGAAGTTTGGTGCAATGATGTCCAGGTTTCACCCTCTCTCCAATCTGGTGTACTAATGTTCAGGTTTCACTCTGAAGTTTGGTGCAATGATGTCCAGGTTTCACCCTCTCTCCAATCTGGTGTACTAATGTCCAGGTTTCACTCTCAAGTTTGGTGCAATGATGTCCAGGTTTCACCCTCTCTCCAATCTGGTGTACTAATGTTCAGGTTTCACCCTCTCTCCAATCTGGTGTACTAATGTCCAGGTTTCACCCTCTCTCCAATCTGGTGTACTAATGTCCAGGTTTCACCCTCTCTCCAATCTGGTGTACTAATGTTCAGGTTTCACTCTCTCTCCAATCTGATGTACTAATGTTCAGGTTTCACCCTCTCTCCAATCTGGTGTACTAATGTTCAGGTTTCACCCTCTCTCCAATCTGGTGTACTAATGTCCAGGTTTGACTCTGAAGTTTGGTGCAATGATGTCCAGGTTTCACCCTCTCTCCAATCTGGTATACTAATGTCCAGGTTTCACCCTCTCTCCAATCTGGTGTACTAATGTCCAGGTTTCACTCTCTCTCCAATCTGGTGAACTAATGTTCAGGTTTGACTCTCAAGTCTAGTGAACTGATGTCCAGGTTTAACTGGTGTCTGCTGCAATGATGTTCAATGTTGTGCCCTATCAGAGCTTTCACCTACAGTCCTAGAGAGAGAGTCCTTTCTCTGGATACAGGCTGGCTGACTCTAATACCAATATGATCAGTATTCCAAATGTGGTGGTGCAGATCCAGCCAACTAGTCTGCCTGTTTATTATCCACCACGCCAGCATGGCCTGGAGAAAAGATTCAAAGTATGCTCACTACCCACAACCTTCCCAGTGAAACTTGCCACTCTGCTCAAAGCATCCCTGTCTTCACCATTTCTTATACAAGCTTTCAGAGTCTGTTACAATTACGACATGTGTATGCATCTTGTTCTCTAGCAACTGGAGAGCTGCAGTTACCGCCTCCACCTACATTCTCATGCTAGATGTTGTGGTGTCATATGCTAGGCTATCTTGCACTAAAGATTTTCCATTGGCTTTCGCTACGAACCCCCAGACACTTCTTTCCTCTCAACACCGAACCATCTGTATAGATAATCAGATCATCTAGGCCATGAATCAACTGTTGGACTTCCACTTCTGTAGCACCCGCTGATCATAACCCTACACAGGTCAGACTTTTCCTCTGGTACTCTCACCTGCTCCTCTCCCAATGTTTTCCAGCATGCATACTTGTCTTAATGTGTGTTCTGCTTCAGCCATCCACAATTTTCCCCTGTTCAGCCTCTGTCGCTTACCTGCAGCCAAAGCTTCATAAAGAGGATGTTCTTTGTCTGCAGCTACTCTGAGTTATGACTTAGCCTGCAGCACTTTTAGCCTATCTGTAATAGTCGGCAATGCCAGGATGTATCAGATGCACACAATTGAGGTGTCTCTTGTACATCCTAGGATCACACGCATAGCTTCATTCTGTATGCGCTCCAGTTTCTCTAGCTGACTGTTCGAGACAGTCAGTAACCTGGATCCATAATCAATCACTGAGACGATTAAGTGTGAACAGCATTTTCTGCTCCATGTCCATCGCTGCCATAATCTTTAATGCATTTAGACCTTTTTGAGCCTTTGCTAAAACCCCCTCTATGTGATTCTTGAAAGACAAACTTTGAAAGGTGATTCCCAGGTACCACAGTCTGCTGTCTCTTTTGATGTCCCTGCAATTTATTTTGAGTTTGGGAACATCAGCTTTAACCATCCTGTTGTCCAAAGAACACCACAGGACAGTTGCCTTTTCTGGGTTGATTACAGCACTCATCTTTGTACACCAGTCAATTACCTTATCTGCTGTCGCATGTAACTCTTCAGCTATTTGATTCAGATCTATCCCCTTCCTATATAAAAGAACATCATCTGCAATCTTGCTCATAAAAACACTGAACAGTACAGGTGAAATTGCAGATCCCTGTGGTTGTCCTGGAGCTATAAAACATGGTTCAGAGGTCCATGAAGCCAGGAAACTGGGAAAGATGAATAGCCCTGAAGTAGAGGATGGCTTAGATTTGTCGGTGTCCCGTATTTCCAGATGGTATAGGGAAGTATGGGAATCACAAGCCATGGTGATGGTGAGTGCAACTAGCAGGACCTGCATGCATTCAGTCTTCCACAACTAGAACATTGGTGTGAGGAACCTTGTTGACACTGCTTGTACTTGTGGAGCCTTGTTGACACTGCTTGTACTTGTGGAGCCTTGTTGACACTGCTTGTACTTGTGGAGCCTTGTTGACACTGCTTGTACTTGAGCAGCCTTGTTGACACTGCTTGTACTTGTGGAGCCTTGTTGACACTGCTTGTACTTAAGCAGCCTTGTTGACACTGCTTGTACTTAAGCAGCCTTGTTGACACTGCTTGTACTTGTGGAGCCTTGTTGACACTGCTTGTACTTAAGCAGCCTTGTTGACACTGCTTGTACTTGTGGAGCCTTGTTGACACTGCTTGTACTTGTGGAGCCTTGTTGACACTGCTTGTACTTGTGGAGCCTTGTTGACACTGCTTGTACTTAAGCAGCCTTGTTGACACTGCTTGTACTTGTGGAGCCTTGTTGACACTGCTTGTACTTAAGCAGCCTTGTTGACACTGCTTGTACTTGTGGAGCCTTGTTGACTGACTGCTTGTACTTAAAGCAGCCTTGTTGACACTGCTTGTACTTGTGGAGCCTTGTTGACACTGCTTGTACTTAAGCAGCCTTGTTGACACTGCTTGTACTTGTGGAGCCTTGTTGACACTGCTTGTACTTAAGCAGCCTTGTTGACACTGCTTGTACTTGTGGAGCCTTGTTGACACTGCTTGTACTTAAGCAGCCTTGTTGACACTGCTTGTACTTGTGGAGCCTTGTTGACACTGCTTGTACTTAAGCAGCCTTGTTTGAACACTGCTTGTACTTGTGGAGCCTTGTTGACACTGCTTGTACTTAAGCAGCCTTGTTGACACTGCTTGTACTTGTGGAGCCTTGTTGACACTGCTTGTACTTGAGAAGCCTCTTTTTAGATGCTCTGCTTGTAACCTATCTGCCATAACTGTCTCCAGTATCCCTGTCTGATTCCTGGCCCAGTAGCACACCTACATATAGCAAATGAGTAGAACTCACACAAACTGTATGTAATAAACAGCTAGGCAGGTTATCAAATACATCAATACATTCAGCATGCAGTCATGATGATGGTAATTAGTGACAACAATTGGAGGGACTACTCTGAAACAATAACGACAGATACACTCTGCTCACCCAGAAGCAGGTGGCAGAGCAAGGCCAGCCTACCTGTACAGAGCCCCCATGCCTGTTGGAAGCCAGGTTGTCTCCCAGGTATGTGTGGCGGTGCTGGTCCCCCCAAGCCTGGTGACCCCTTTGGTTTGAGCTGGCCTGCAAGGCAAACCCGGGATGGTTAGTGGACAAAAACCAAGAAGACAACACTACAGATAGACAGAAGAACAGTTACTAGTCCCTCCAGCACTCAGGTTTAGTCTAAGCTAAGCATTAGGTACCAGGATTTAAAAACATGCTCAAATAAGCAGGCATACATCTGGCAAACACAACTGTCTAAAACGAGTTTCTGCCCAAATTAGATGGGTAAGTCATAATTCAATTTGATGTGTTAATGTCATATAATAACAATGACATGTGTTAATGTCATATAATAACAATGACATGTGTTAATGTCATATAATAACAATGACATGTGTTAATGTCATATAATAACAATGACATGTGTTAATGTCATATAATAACAATGACATGTGTTAATGTCATAAAATACACAAATGACATGTGTTAATGTCATATAATAACATGACAATTTGTTAATGTCATATAATAACAATGACATGTGTTGATGTCATATAATAACAATGACATGTGTTAATGTCATATAATAACAATGACATGTGTTAATGTCATATAATAACAATGACATGTGTTAATGTCATATAATAACAATGACATGTGTTAATGTCATAAAATAACAATGACATGTGTTAATGTCATATAATAACAATGACATGTGTTAATGTCATATAATAACAATGACATGTGTTAATGTCATATAATAACAATCACATGTGATGCAGCATTATATAGACATTGACCTCAGCATGATGCTTGGTTAGGAAACCACTGCATGTTTTTAGAAAACAAGTGATTACAAATCTACATGTTTCCACACATCTGGTGTCCTCATCGTAGAATGACCAGACACCAACAGGGAGGTCAGGACTTGATCCTCTGTCAGCTTTACCCTGACCTTGACTGGTAGAGAAGACTGTGTACACAAGGCAAGCGAACATGACTGCCAAGTACTATACCTACAGTACAACAGCAAAGATTTGGCCACTCCTCTTACAATGAAAAGTATACTCTTAGACTTACACCAAAAGCACTGAAGATGTGTTCAAGATCAGTTAAATTTTGCAGCTAGTGGTTTCTGTGGTATGAGGCACGCCTCACCTCCTTAGTTACCTGTGGCGACACCCATGCAAGACTACTTGATTACTGTTCTTTCCTTCCCTTATGGGTTCCACCAAAAATGCAAGCCAGAGAAAAATACAATCAGTGGATAAATAAATGTGTTTAACAGGCAACAGGCTGCACAAGGACATGAGAATCATGAACCAAAACTGTGCAACCAGTATCACAAATGTGTACAGTGTTAGCGCCATCATTTCTTAGTTTAGCAATAATGAGCAGCTACAACTCAATCAATAGCAAGCCATTTCAACAACAATAGCAGGTCACTGGCAAGAAGAACAATCTGAACATACTTCTGTGTTACATTCTGTTTTTGTTTTTTTAAATAGTGCCACAACTTTGAGACAAAATATCTGGACACAAAATTATGCGTAACCGAAATGAACAGGGAATCCCTTGAAACCATAGAAACAGAACTGCAAACAGTTTTTATTGACTGGCACTCATAGACAAAAAGACACACTCAAATCATCATCATCAAGTGCCTTGTCGACTGGTGTGGATGATCATACCTCTCCACAACCTGCGGTATCCAACAGCATGTATCAGCTCATATGCTGACATCCTCTCTCTCCCATGTCATTAGAGAAGATTGACAAGAATCTCTTCTCACATTGTGTTTCTTTCTCTGTCTTATAGTGGTAACAACAGTTCCAGTTTTCCTCTTCTCGTAACAATGACAAATAATGACAGTCTAATTCCTATATTTGAGAAAAAATGACTTTTGGATGTCACCTCTTTCAAAATCTCAGAGTTTCCCATACTGGCTGCCCAAGGAACTTTCACAATCTCAGGGTTTCCCACACTGGCCGCCCAAGGAACTTTTAAAACCTCAGGGTTTCCCACACTGGCTACCCAAGAAACTGAGTATTATTCTGTAAAACCGCATCTCTGAGGCCTCCACAAAGTGTTTAGTTTCTATTAATTGTAAAGGTTCCACAGCCATATGGTGCCTTTTTCTCTATATTTCATGTATAAGAGTGTCGCTGAATTGACAATATTCTGAAAATCCAAGGAACAATGCTTCTTAGAGGCTAACAGGACAGCAAGCTGTTGAGTCTGTGCTCAGTGATTCCAAGGAGGGTGAAGGCTGTGATGATTCTGATATCCTGGACATGTAATCTGGTCATTAGGAAAGTGGTTACACAAGTGAGCAAAACAACAATCATGCTAGTTCTGGTGGTCTTTCAGGAGCCCAATCTGCAGTGCTCAAGTGTGACAATGCTGGGAGCCCAACCTGCAGGTGCTCAAGTGTGACAATGCTGGGAGCCCAACCTGCAGTGCTCAAGTGTGACAATGCTGCACCTTAGATTATGTATAGATATGCTTGACACAGGTTGGTATCCTGCAGATACATTCAGACCTACATCTTCAGCAGACAACATTTGTGGAATAGAAAGATCCCACAAACATTCCGGAATCCTTTTCTTCTGAAAGAATACTGAAATATTGGTAGCTGTCTCTGACTATGATCTCAGGTATCATTTATATCTGCAGACTAACAGATACAGTAGGAATACAGCAAGACTGAGTAGAAGCGGAATTATTGTGGTAACATTCCGAAACTGCCATCTCTCTGTGCCAGCCAGTGACTGTCCTGCGTCAGATAGACACTGTCTGTAACTGTGCTAGTGGATCCTCTGATAATCGTTATAGCATCAGTGATAGAAAGAGTATAGCCAATGAATCTGGTCATATAGTATATTGTCTGTTAGTAACTATAAGCTGTAGCCACAACACTTTTCATGCCACAACTGCAGGTAATCTCTTTAAACCTTTCATTCCATGAATGTCAAACAACAACAAAAAACAAAAAAGAAAATGGACCACAAACGTGTGGAAATTTCAACAACAACAAAAAAAAAAACCTTTAAAAATAGTTATTTGATATAAGTAACTGGTAAATTGGTTATAAATGTATTTATCTACATTATTTTAAACTGTTCGAAAAAAAATAAAGGCAGTAATCAATAAACAAGAACAGAGGAATGGATGGAATCCTCTGAGCCTCAAACAAATATGTGGCTCATGCTGTCACCTCTATCCCCAAGGCTTCGGGAAAAATGTTAAGTGAAGTTGGCTTAAAAAATATATTGGACTGCCAAGGATACCCGTTAAAACTGTATATTTGGTTAATACATTCATACTTAGGCCTCTTAAACACTATACAGCTACACACAGAACCAATAGTATTTAACCAAGCTTTTCAAGAACCGGCGTCCGTGGCTAAGGCGTTGCGAGTCCGACTCGTAAGCCAGCATACCGCAATCGAAACCCACTGCAGGCTGCGTGGATTTTTATCGTGGTATGGGACGTCGCAGGTCGACCCAGCCTAAAATGGGTACCAGGATGGGCTGTCCTGGGAAAGTAAAGACGGCCGGCGTAATGCTGACCACATTACCCACAGAGTGCTGATGGTCTGTAAAAATATGGGACGCTCTGCCCATATGCCCGATGCGCCGAAAGGCGTGAAAAGGGATCTTTACTTTACTTTTTTTTTACTTTCAAGAACCTGTCGCTGCAGAAATGGTGACGTACCAGCATGTAAATACGACCAGAAGTGATTAGATTTGGCCTTATCGGGGAGATCGGGTTAAACACATACAATTCTTTTGTAACAGCAGTAGCATCCAGGATAGGTCTTACTTAAGCAAGCTGTATAATTTTAGTATTCCAAATACAAGATCTTTTAAGATCTTGTCAAGCAAACACAAGATAATCTAAAGCTTTTGTTTTTCTCCACACATTAAATGTAAACTTCTGTTTATAACCTGCAAGATATCAGTGCATTTAATTTAAACGCTTGTTATTTTATTTTACAAATGAAAATGCTTTTTTAAATAACTTCCAATAACGATAAATTCCACGATTGAAGAAAGTGTTCTGCCCCTTAGGGCTGGGGCAACCAGCTCAGTGATGAAAGCTGATTATGAGTATCTAGGACAATGATGGTCAAAATGATAGCTGTCAACTCAACATTGATGATTATGTAGAAATATGAATACTCAGACTTATCTAAAAATGTATCATGTGTCTTAAGACGGGCTGGGAGTAGTGAAGCCATTCTTAGTATGCTTCACTTTAACTGTTTCACTAGACAGAAGAGCCTGAAGGTCTATAATCAATAAACTACAACATAGGAACAATGAGAACAAACAATGAGAACAACCACTCACCATTTGTCTGCCAATCCAGTCAAACTGCCAGTCACATTTGTAAGACATTTTTTCCATGAGATCCGAGAACAGTCTCCGCAGATAATCGTAATCAGGAGTTTCAAAAAAGTCTAACTTTCGCACATAGCGCAAATATACCGCTAGTTCTTCTGAAGAAAGATATAAAATGCATTTAAATTAAAAAAAACATACACATGTATCTCTACTTATTCTGTTTCAAGTATTTTCAATCCGCGAAAACCAAATAATGATTACACTTTCTGGTTTATAAATGTATCACTCTCTATCCATGTCATGTGCTGATGAATGCTTTCTACCTGCAAAGTTTACCTGTCATTGCTGATTGTGATAATGTGAACTTTACTAGTTCTGCTATTCGTTTGGTTTGATATTTTTTCATTATATATTCAATAAACAAACACTACTTACTACTCTCTTATGCTGTTCAAGAAAGCTTCCATGATTACTGAATAACATTGCGAGCTAAGCGTGATAAGATTTTTCTTCTCCTTTTACATTCACCCTTAAAATGGCAGTTGAGGTTTACAGCTAGGCTGTGTTATCTGCATCTTTCAGGAAATAAATATGATTTAAGAAAATCTGTAACTAGTCATTTTTATGAGATGATTATTAACCGACTGAAGCCGAAAATCTGGCACTTCAAGCAAGGCTTGACAACTACAGTTGCATGTTTACGAGATTTAAAGTTAACATGGCTGGCTATTTTATAGCATCAGTACAGCATTTAAGGGGTCAGGATATGGATACATTTACAAAAAATACAACTCAGAAGGGTTTCCTTGTGAACCAAATAGCCTTTTTTTTTAAACCATGCTGACGTCAAATGTGTTCAGTAGCCTCTACAACAGAGGTCACAGAATGAGTCACCAGATACACACACACACAATTTTTTTTTTTTTTAAGGGATGCATTCTGTTGAATCTGCAAGGTGTGGTCACGTCTGACACTGCAGTCAACAGTGTTAGGGGTAACTAGCTTTCCTGGGAGGGTGGAAAGTGGAAATTAGTAGCCTGCTGATATCCCGTGATAGCACAAGCCAACACCACCTCCTCGTGGTGCAGACTGGAAACTATCCGCAAGGATACAGGCTAACGGGGAAATGGGAACCTGAAGAGGCTTTTGGTGCTGCCAGGGTTGAAATTCTGCTCGATAAACACCATGATGACAAATATAGACCTGGCTCCAAAGGTCAGTAGGAGCTGCCTCTTCTCCCAAACCAGGTTTAATATTTTCTTAGAAAGAACTGTGACTGATACCCTAGAGAAACACACAAAACAGTAAGTATGAAAGGACGAACACACAGAACAGTTAGTATGGGAGGACTGATAATAACAAACTTAAAGTTTTTAGTAGAATTAGCAAAAATGATGAAATATGGACCAATTATGGCATGGAAATTAACACAGAAAATATAAAAAGTAATGACTAATAATCCAGCTGGTGTAAGTAAAACACTGCACGTCAAAGGTCACAAATTAAAACATTAAACAAGTCAATCATTTCAAATATTTAGGGTCTATTTTAAGTGACCTAGGGCCCAGACCGGACATTATGTCTCAGAGCACTAGTTATTAGTACATTTACTTCTGGCTGTAGACGTAAACTTTAACAACACAACTTGAACAAGAAGATACAAGCACTGGAAAGTATTGAGAAATATTCTGGACATCTCATATATAGAACATTCACAACTGACGAGGTTTGCCGCACAATTGCCCAGCACACTGGCAACTATGAACCTCTTTTAACGACAATGAAGAGACAGAAAATGCAAAAGTACAGACACGTAATAAGATCCGACAGCCTCTCTGGCTTATCTGTATGCAGACTATTGGTTCCTCGCCTCTCAGGCAGACGCACTTCGATTTAGAAGGAAACACCACTAAGTGGTCAACTTTTATGTCCTGCTTCTTAGGGGGCAGTGGGTCTATACTCCCCCACCTCCCTTTTCCACAACGGGGCCCTGGAATCAGCATGGGTAAAAACTTCAACGAATAAGTTAGGATGGTTTCTCATAAACATACCTGGAAAGTTTTCACAGAGAACTTCAACAGGAGTGGCCCGCTTGGTGTCCCCAATCTTCTGATAGCGCTCCTTTAGTGTGTCAGCCTTCAACCCCTGCCAGGGTAAACTACCTCGGAGAAAATACATGAACATGTGACCCAACGCCTCAAGGTCATCTCGCCGGCTCTGCTCTGAGAAAAAAAAAAATATATGTTCACAAATGTAAAATAAAATGAATACTATGTGACATCTTAACAGGACAGTATGCATAAACAGTCAATGGCATTATGGCAGACTGCCTTGGTTCGGATCCTTCACATCGGTTATTACAACAAATGATTACAACTGTGATATCACAAATATCATGTAACTTTATTAAAGAATATCTTCACATAAATTTATTCAAGTCTTATCTCTCAAAAGGCAAACTAATAAATGGACCACAGCCAAACTCATTTTGACCCCAAAGACAGTGATTTCAGTGACAAAAACAACACACATATTATATTAGATCATGCATTAAGAGGTGAGTTGACTAGAGTTGCATTTATTTTTTTTTCATTTTGAGCCCTTAAAGTTCACTGCTGCAGTGGACATTAGCTCTGCATCATCTTCTTGGTCTGCCTCGTGGTCTACAACCATTCAGCTTGCTTGTGTATACAGCTTTTACCAGTTGACCAGCTGTAAACTCTGGTGAAAGTTCTGTTTGTTCGTTTCCTTCAGGACTTTGGTCTTGTTCCAGAATTTGAGTTTTGCACCCTATCATCATACAGATCTGGATTTCTTGTATGCCCAGTGCTGGTTGCTGGCCTCTCAGGCACATGTGCTCGGACTTTGACAGATCTGGATTTCTTGTATGCACAGTGCTGGTCGCTTGCTTGCCTCTCAGGCACATGTGCTCGGACTTTGACAGATCTGGATTTCTTGTATGCACAGTGCTGGTCGCTTGCTTGCCTCTCAGGCACATGTGCTCGGACTTTGACAGATCTGGATTTCTTGTATGCACAGTGCTGGTTGCTTGCTAGCCTCTCAGGCACATGTGCTCGGACTTTGACAGATCTGGATTTCTTGTACGCACAGTGCTGGTTCAATTTAGGCTTAGCAAACCTTCAGAGCCACCTTAGCAGCATCAAAGGCCCCTAGCAAACCAGTGTGCTGGGGTCCTTTGACAGCCACTTACAGAAATGAAAATCAACAAATTAATGGGCCCTTATACCCGTGGGTTCCTAGGGTAAGTGCCCAGCAGACCCAAGCATTAAGATGGCACTGCCAACAATGACAGTGTCTTCTTGAAAAAAAAAAAACTACTGAGATGTTTCTATTTAGCACTATTTTCTGTCTCCAATTTAGTCTATGTCTCCCGGTGAATCAACAGGCACATATGTCTGCTTTTATTTATGCCAGCTGGATTATTAGTCATTACTTATTAAAACATTGATAAGACTAGTTGTTTTATACGGTTCTGAAACTTGGAGCACAAATAAAAACGGATATAACCTGATAAATAATGTTTGAAAACAGAGTCAACGGAAACACATCTAGAAACAGTCTCTAAGCATTTAAAACTATGTTTGCTTTTCTTACTAACAGCACCAATTTTCATAAAAACAGGCAAAGATTAACAAGGGATTGAATCTACTTCAGTCAGCCTACTGAAGCCTACACTATCTGCACTCACTAGGGATCTACAACATTTAAAAACTAACCCGGACCGTAAATTGAAAGGCAGAATGGGAACAAACACATGACCTTTGGAGTGTAAGGTAAACAGTTTGACTACTCTACCACAAGACCAACTAACACATCTAAACTATGATACTCTCCTCTATGATTTGTGCCAATAATTTACACTCAGTCAACAAATCTGTGCCAATAATTGACATCAGTCAACAAACCTGTGAAAATATATCCTCCAAATTCCTTCTTGAAGAACAAGCAAAACACAACTTAATCATTCAAAATATGACCCAACCCTCAGAAAATCACACACAGCAAGCTGGACAAAAACTGCATTGAAAGAAAAGAGTTCAATGGAAAGTACACTATGAGACAGACAAAGAATGTACAGAGATAGTTTACAGGCAGAAATACAGTCGTGTGAAAAGAGAAAGTTATTCACAAAGATGAATGGAGGTGGATGATATCCAACAAGAAACCTCAAGGGTGCGTTGGAATGCTGAACAAGAAGCACACTGGACTAACTTACCTTTCCCTAGATGTGTGTTAATACTCATGTAGCGGGCAGTCCCTGTCAAACTCTTATGCTCTCTGTAAGGAATATGTTTGTTGGTTTCTGGGTCAATATACTCCTTGGCTAAACCAAAGTCTATAATATGAATAATGTGCTGCTTTTTGGTCGATTGCCGTCCTATCAAGAAATTCTCAGGCTTCACATCCCTGTATATCAGATGCTTGGAATGCACATACTCCATACGCGATAGCTGCAACAGTAATGGGTATATTATATCTATTATGTGCAGGAGTTAAAATAATATTTCAAAGCACAATTACATTCCAAGAAACCTAAAAGTCATATTCCAGGCTGTAGTCTTATACTGGATACATGGCCAGTCTCAAGCGGTGTATCCATGCTGTTAATGAGATGGTGCACTCTCTCAAAGAAGTTGCATGGCAGTGTGCCATATTAGTCAAATACGTCACCGATGACAGTATCAGTTATGTACATTTAAAATTCAGTGGCCCATCAATTCAATTACTAGGCTTTGCAAGCAGATAATTGTTATGAAACCTGTTGAGTGTCCAATCAATCAATCAATCAGGTGTTGTCTCCACAGCGATAGTTAGCTAGATCTCTAGCATTCTCCGTCTCTCCACATGGTTGTAACTTTTTCAGGCTGATGTTCATCCATCATTTGATATTATTCCCAACTTGTATCACTGTTTACCTCTTGCAATCTTTCCTTCAACCCACCCCTCTCCAGGATGGCTTTTAAAAACAAAAATATTATGCCTTTTAATGTGGTCAAAGTATTTTATTTGTCTCTTTTCTTTACATTTATTTCAGCAATTCTATTCGATGCCAGTCTCTCCAGAACTTTCAGCTGCACAAATAGAACATGTGCTTCTTGATGTTCAGCGTGCCAAGTTTTTGCTTAATGTTTGTTTGTTGTATAAATGTCATGCTCTATTTAAGAATTCTGTGTTATGTAATACTTAGCTTATTTATTATTCTCTTGGATTATCTATTCACAACTACAACAGTTTTAGGGTTAAACATTAGTTAAAATAACAAAGACAAATGTAAAAAGTTAGGGCTTTTACGTTTTGCCTTTCTTGACTTTTGGTACATCTTACTATCTGTAAGCAATAAACAATTCTTATCTGCATGAATATTCAGTATGCAAAAGGAGAATCATAAAACTCACACTCTGTAATACAAATTCAGGAATAGAGTTAAATTTAAAAAAATTACAGCCAAAAATAAAGTCTGTTAAAAATTTAAAAAAGTACAACACATAAGCACAGGTAGATGGATAATAGCGGTAGCACTTACCAACTGAACAGCTATCATGAGAACAGTTTTGAGTGTGAACTTTCTATCACAGAGATCAAACAAATCTTCCAAACTAGGTCCCAGAAGCTCCAAGACCAGGGCATTAGATTTGGCAACAGGACCAAAGTAGAACACATTGGGAACTCCCTCTGCAGAAGAAATCATTTTAGCAACATAACCAGCAGCTCTGTGGGTGGCTACAGCCAGACATCATTCTCTAAAACAGAGGCTCTCAATCTTCCTTATGCTGCAACCCTTTAATACAGTCGCTCATGTACGGTGACCTCAACCATAACATTATTTTCATTGCTATTTCTTAACTTCAGTGAATATTTGTTTTTTGATGGTCTTACGTGACCCCTGTGAAAGGGTCATTCAACCCCAAAGGGGACACGACCCACAGGTTGAGAACCTTTGAAGCTACAAACTGGGAAAAGGCAAAAATTATATTAATAATTATTTATATTATACACACTTTTTAAAAAAAATGTGTGAAACACAGAATATCTGAAAAGAGGAGGAGAGGAAGAGGCAGGAAGGAAAGAAATAAAAACATATACATACACACAAGAAAAAACAAAACACAATTTGCCTTTCAGATAAAGCATTAGGAGTGGCTGGCCGAGCGGTTACAACATCGGGAGCTTATGTGATAGACCCAGGTTTGACCCTCTCTACGGTAACGAGTTTTTCTGTCGGGTGCAGAATTAAACATCTTAATCTGTACAGTCCATGGCGACAACTAATGATTTGTGGACCTAGATCCTCAGGTTCACAACCCTCTGTCTACACCGCCCTAAAAAAAAGTGGTATGTACAGATAGTAATGACAGTTTTTTTAATGAAAAGACGAAAAGACATGAAAGAAGCCTTGTCTAGCCAGTGTTTGAAACACATACCTTGAATACATTATGTCTGAGATACTAATGCTATCAAATGTCTAGTCAAGTGTTTGAATACATTACGTCTGAGATGTTAATACTATCAAATGTCTAGCCAAGTGTTTAAATACATTACGTCTGAGATGTTGATACTATCAAATGTCTAGCCAAGTGTTTGAATACATTACGTCTGAGATGTTAATACTATCAAACGTCTAGCCAAGTGTTTGAAAACATTACGTCTGAGATGTTAATACTATCAAACGTCTAGCCAAGTGTTTGAATACATTACGTCTGAGATGTCAATACTATCAAATGTCTAGCCAAGTGTTTGAATACATTATGTCTGAGATGTTAATACTATCAAATGTCTAGCCAAGTGTTTGAATACATTACGTCTGAGATGTTAATACTATCCAATCAAGTGCTCCCAAAGAATTTCAAGCCATGACCTTCTTCTATACCAGCAAATCACTTAACCCCTCTCTTCATATTTGCATAAAATAATCATGTTAAATTACCGTCTGTAACACACAATTTTACCGTAGTATCAACACTGCAGTTATATATCTTATTTGTGGGCACTGATCAAAGTCAGGTGCAGTGGAAACTTGCAGGAAATTATCAAATACTGTATAAAATATTTTGAGGATGCCCTATTATGAATTTGAAGACTTAGGCACCCCCCTCCCCCACACACAATGTTACAACAGCAGAAAACTGTTGTGCAATCATAATGAAGCAAGTGGTAAAATTTATATAAAAAATAATTTCATAAATAAACGTGTGACTGTACAGGTTATGAACAGGCTGAGTGTCCTTGACCTAGCCTAAATGAATCAGAGGTCAGCAGTATTAAATATGTGACGTTAACTTAAAACAAAAACAGAATTAGAATCAATATGATAAGGCATTGTATTTAAAAAAATTACGCACACCCAAAAAAAAAAAAAACTTTTCTTAACATGTTTTGACAGGTACAATCAGTCTATTTTCAAAGGAGATTTAACATGTTCTCTTGACACTATCTTTGTTCCATTTGCTGTCTATTCTGTAGTCCCTATGCACTCACATGTCTAGCAACAGCAAATGTTTTTTAATCCATGTTCGCCAGCAGCCTGACGCTTTGTGCTAGATTTTAATCTAACAAAATTATACAGCCTTTTTATAAAGATTTTTCAAAGTTCTAGTCTTAGTTGGCCTAGATCCACATCGGCCATTTTGAATGGGATAATAAGCAAGTTACAATTCACCTAACCGTCGACTCCTGCGTATTGTCATCTTGGTTTAACCCAGTAAATGTCAAATTCTCCTTCTGACACAGTAAATGACATTATCAGTAAATCACACAAGAATGTCACCATATGAAGGTCAACTTTATAGGTCAGATGTTTACAAATATAACCACAAACATTATTTAATGTCTTTTTCTTGTCCTTGATACCTTAATGGAGAGCAGGCCCTCAAACCGTCATCCTATGTTTTGCTATTGCATGCAGTTCGTCCCAGGTCCTACTACTTATACCACAAAGTGTAGCAGAGGAGTCATATGTAGTTTTCTGTCTTTTGCAAGAGTACTTCATGAAAGCAAAAGGCAAATGGCTGGCTGACCAAGAAATGATGGGTGGAGAGAGTACAAGAGACACTACAGAAACACAGTATGATATTAATCATTGCTCGGTCGGTCTGCCGTTTGCCTTCTGCTCTCATGTGGTACACTCTAGCTGCTGGCTGATTTTGTCCCATTCTGACCAGATGACTAAACCATTTGATTCTTTGAGGTTCTGTGAAGTCATTCAACGGTACTGTGTCTCCTGTTTTATGAGTTCTTCATTTGTGACTGTCTTTTCTTGTTTTTCCCACCACATTTCTTATGCATCTCATCCCTGGCCCTGCCCATCTTTTAACTTCTCTCTAGTTACCTTTCCCATGTGATTTTGGTCTGCCTTCATTTCTTTTGATTCTGGGGGTTCCAGAGCAAAGATATTCTAGTTATATTGTTCTCATGCTTTATCAATGTGTTTCTTATCCAAAGCCGACCAATGCAGAGAAAGCTGAATTCTGATTTTCAGAGTATTTCAATATAGTGGTAGAGTGCAAAGGCATTTAACAGACATCTGCGTTCATATCTAGAATATTATTCGCAGCCAAAAAGTCAAAGAAGGTAAACGTGTATGTCCAAGTGTGGTGAATTCTCAGATGGAGGATTTACCCCGGGATCCCACAGTGAAGAACAGCTTATATGCTGAGAAATAAACCGTCAATGTTCTCCAAGGTCGAGGCAATGACCTTTAGGGGTATTCCGATTTCAAATTAGCTGTGATTTGATATTGCCTAATCTTCATTGAAAGCGAGGACAACAGAAGTGATTTGCTTGTAGTTAATTGTGGTAAGTTTGTTTTCCCACCTATCCTGTCTTGCAAAAATCACCAGCATTCGAAAATTTGTTAAAACACCTATCTGAGAAAGGTGGTGGTACTAAGAACACATGGTCTTATCAAGGTGAATAATGTTGAGACCCCTTGAAGTTGTTATTTACTGTTGTGGACTTTCGCTGCGAAAATCATCCCCTTACTGTTACCCAGAGACTTTTTGTTGAACTGAGATACGTTTACGTTAAAACCATGCATCCTTCAGTGAAGAACCCACTCATTCACACTCTACACATCCTTCAGTGGGACTCTTCACCTGTCAACTACATCCTACACACCCTACAAGAGACATACAGATACAAACACACATATACAAGGCACAGACACACACATGTACACACAGACCATGATGAAGACCAAGAACAATATGGAAAGATATCTGATTAAACTCTACATGTCTATGCGACAGGAACAGCAAGAAGCAGAAACCGTCGGCTCTGTGGCTAAGTCGATGCGAACGCTTCGCAATGCCGGGATGCCAGGTTCGATCCTAGCTGTGAGCCATGCGCCTTGCCTTGTTTTCGACAGTGGTATCAAAGAAGCCGACCGTCCAGAAAGCAATGGCAAACTACTGGATGTAAATTTGCCTAGAAAAACCACACAACAGCCAGGGGCTGTTGGGGTTGGTTCTGCAACATCCTGTAAAAGGATACGCAACTAACCTAACTCTACAGACCATAAAGTGCTTGTTTATTTATGAAACAGTCTTGCATGTGTGCCACAAAGCATTAGCCTCCTACCTGACTGTCCCAGCTGTTTGTAGAACCTGTATTCCAAGTGTAACTGAGGTGCCCTTGATTTCATTGGTTCCTAGTGATTTCAAAAAGATCACATTTGTTCATTAGGCTGTCAGAGTAAAGAAAAGTCAATTAACACTTTCAAACTTGCTATCATGCACGCACATCATTGCCCGTATGGGTTCTGGGGTTGCCTTATGGCAGGAACAAAACTGACCCACCAACCCTCTAACAAGTATGTCATTAAGGTTGACTAAACAGGAATGTTTTCTTTAAAGTCAGAGTGCATCTGCCAGAACCAACAGCCTGCATACAAACAAGACAGAGATGTGAAATGGATGTGCAAATAATAAATAGAACTTTCTGCCAGAGTTGACAGCTGGTAAACACAAAGAACTCATCCCAACCACCCAAGTAGTACCCAGCAGACAAGAGGACAATAACAACATTTATAAGATGGATATGTAAGACTTCAGATGTGACAAGTTTCAGGCTGCCATCAGACTGGCTGTCAATGTGGCCCAGCATTACATCATTTATGTGGAATTCTCAAAATGCAAGACAAGACAAAAAGTAAACAGCCAAATGATATTACGGCAGATGTGCGCATATTTTGTCAGTCACTGATTTCTCCATCCAAGAAGGAACTGCACATCAGCACTGCCTGTTCATGTATTCTTCAGCGTCAAGAACTACAAATATTGTAACACATAAAGACCACGATTAAAAACTAAAACAGGGAAATCTGTAACTAGAAAGAAAAATAGAGAATAAGAAGGTGAGAAGATTCCTGACAGCATTTGCGCATGACACAGAAGTTTATCAGCATACAAACTAGGGCTGTACCGAATATTTCGTATTCAATTCAGGGCCAAAAAGTGAACCTAATAACTATTCAGTATTTGGCTGAATACTTGCGGTAGGGCCGAATAGTGGTTACCTTACACCCGTTTCTGGACTGGTGTAAAATAAACATGCCAAGATTTCCCACCTTGGTTCATTCATACTGTCAAGCAAAGCTCTTACATAGTGGAATAAGAGGCAAAATGTACTACTGGATACAACACTTCCTATCCCATAGGCAGGCATCTGTGAAACTGGATGAAGCACATAGTCCCAGATTCAAGCTGAGAGCACGAGTACCAGACAGTAGTGTACTGTCTCCAGTCCTGTTCCTGATCTACATCAACGACCTACCTCAAGCTTTACCCAGACATGTATCACATTCTCTTCATGCAGATGACCTAGCTGTGTGGTACACCTCTGAGTTCATTGGACCGGCCATATCAAAACTCCAGGAAAGTGTGAATAGTGTCATAAACTGGGCCAACAAATGGGGCCTCGAAGTAAACAAGAACAAAACTGTAGCAACACTCTTCTCATTGTCTACAAAGGAGGAAAAGTTTACTTTAAAATTCAACAATGATGCTGTTCCACGCTCCAATACTCCAACCTTCCTGGGAGTCAAGAAACATACTAGAAACTAACAACAAAAAAAGCTATGAGAAAACAAGGTGTGATGAAGAAATTGGCAGGCACCACTTGGGGAGCAGACAGTTGCATCTTGAAGCAGGTATACACCGGCACAGTCAGACCAACTCTCGAATATGCATCATTGTCATGGATAACAGCAGCCCATTCCAATAAACAGGTACAAGACAAAATGCAAAATAGAAGTCTGTGTACAATTCTGGAAGCCATAAAATCTACACCTATTGTAGAAATGGAAAAGGCAGCCATCATCATCCCCTTAGAAGAAGGACAAAAGCAATTCTACATGCAGGAAAAATGAAGAGAATGCTAAACCACATACTACATGAAAAATTGGCAGCCAGGACAAAAAACCGAATAAAGCGTCCAAGGCTAAACCATCTAACTAAGGAATTTGGAAAGTCCTCTCTTCACTACTTAACCAACAATGTACACCTGAAGAGCTATCTTTTGATCTCTGGGACTCAGAATTATTGACACTCAATGTGTCAACATCCATCACGAACCTGGGAAACAAAGATGCTGAGCCCACTTTAGTAAAGAAAGCACTCACAATGGAACACCTAAACAACATGTTCCCACAGGACAGCTGGGCGAGAATCTACACGGATGGATCAGAAAAGAGGCAACTACGAATGGTGGGGCAAGTGTTTACATAAAACACCCAGATGCCTCTACTGTGTCCCTGGCAGCCCCCACCGGACGAACTTGCTCTAACTACAAGGCAGAGCTCTCGGCCCTATTGATGGCAGCACAGTATATGAACAATCTGCAAATTACCGCAGGCAGGATGGTTTTTCTCACTGACTCACTGTCAGCTATACAGGCCCTTGAGTCCAAACCTACCGACAGCACACTACAAAGTCTAACAAAGGAACTTGCTATGTTGTCAAAAAAAGCAGAAATTCACTTGCAGTGGATTCCGTCACACTGTGGCATCAAAGGCAATGAAAGCGCTGATGCTTTAGCCAAGGAAGGCAGCAACAAACTACAGACCTACCAGCCACTATCTTTTCCAGAAGTCAAAACCATCATTAAGAGAAAATCAGAAACAGATTGGAAAACCAACACTGGTTATAACTACGAAAAAGATTTTCTGATACATGAATAGAACAGACCAAGTCACAGTTTTTCGCTTAGGTACTGGACACTGCAGACTCAATAAACACTCATATAAATTAGGTATGAGCCAAACAGCTCTCTGCCAATGCCTTCGTGCTGACCAGACTCCAGAACATGTCCTGCAAGACTGTCCTCTCCTGGTGGAGCTGTGGAGCAACATATGGCAACACCCAGTAGAACAGACAACTAAGCTTCGGGGAAACATAAGAGACGTTGAAAAGAAATCCCAGTTTATGACCCACAGTGGATTATGCGCATGACCAGAGATCGCTGAAGAAGAAGATACTGTCAAGCTTTACTTTTGTGCACCACCTATGAGCGTACCAAGTAAACGTCTATTTAGTACAGCTGGAAATACCTTCAGTGAGACGTGAAGCTGCCATAATGCTGACAACATGGAATGATTGGTTTCTTTTTTTAAAAGCTAATGACGCTTTCATGGATTCACTAAGCTGTCTGTGAAAATTTACAAGTTTAGATACTTGTTATAAAACTAAGAATACTTTCATTCCTAGAAATTAGTTACCACAGACTGACTGACTGAAGGATGCAAAACATAAAATGTTTTTAAATGTTTACTATTCTGTACTTCATTTTGTGGAGTGAAATTTCAGCATACATTTGACATTATGAATGTTTTTTTTAGATGTATTTTATACACTATACACTATTTGAAAGTGGAAGAATGGGCCTCAGTTTGAATAGTGGGAAGACAGAAGTAATAGTGGTATCAAAGAAAATAATTATTCCTAAATGTGTAATAAAAGTCAATTGTGTTTTTTTGGGACAAGTACAGAAATTTAAGTATCTCGGCACTTGGATAACATCAGATGGAAAATGCATTACTGAAATAAGAAACAGAATAGGACAGGCAAAAAGTGCATTTTATAAAATAAAGAACATCTTATGCAATATATCTTTGTCATTGAAGGTCAGAAAAAGAATTTTTGCTTGCTACATACATCTAGTTTTAACATTTGGCTGTGAGTCCTGGACAATTGGTGGGTAAGCCAAACAATTTCTTGAGGCCTCAGAGATGTGGTTTTACAGAACAATGCTTAAAATACCTTGGACAGCCCAAAAATAAAAAAGCAAACAAGAGGTTTCGAAAGAGGCGGGAGCCCGAAGACAACTAATCACAGACATCAAAAGGAGACAGCCATCATTTTTCGGCCGTGTTATGAGAAGAGGGAAAATGAAACATGTGGTGACCACTGGAATGATCTGTGGAAGGAGAGATAGAGGAAGACAACGAGAGAAGATTCTTGACAGTCTTGTTGTATGGCATTGAGGTGTGTCAGCACACAAACTAATACATGCTGCAGGAGATCACAGATTGTGGCGAGGCATGAATGCCCATGCCAGCCGGCAAGGCACCTGATGATAAAGATACACTATTCGTATTTGGCCGAATAGTCCCGCTATTTGTATTCGGCCGAATAATGAAAATCACTATTCGGTACAGCCCTAATAAAAACTCATACATACTGTTAGAGACCACAAGTTAAGAAGAGGCATGATCACCCACTCCAGTCAGCAAGGCACCTGAAGATGTTTTTTAATGATTTATAATTGTCTTTCCTTTTATTTATGCACCAATAAACACTCCATATAACTTAGCCCTGAAGGATACTGGGTGAACAGGGGTTGATTGTGGCAGCAGCTAAGATATGGTTGGCAAAGTTATCCTTCTCAACTTTAACAACGCCAGACATGGAGGGGCTATTTCTGATTCAGCCATAAAATCTTGTTACAACCAACATACCGTCTATCTTATCTAGAAGTGATTTATTTACACCCTTGGTGACCTTCTCAGGAAAGAACTAAACATCGAATATTTTTTTCTACATTTATATCCTTGATCCACGCCACCCACAGATGCAGTTTTATCAAATTTTCATGACCTCTTTATTTCCAGCCTCTCTGATCACTTCATTTTTATTTGCCTCTGGAATCTTAAGTCTTTCCCTTTTTGATAACTACCTGTAAATCAGAATACTTTTGCTTTCAGCTAAATATTTATGTTTTTAAATGTGTTTGTTTGCATTAATGGGTCAAAATGTTCATTCTGTATCCATTTGTGCCTTCTGCTTTTAGAATTACCAGGACAAGTTTGTCTTTCCCTTTTTTTTCTGACATCAGTCAAACAGTGATCACTTATTATTTCTTCTACAATTCACGAGCTACCATGCCATTGAAACACTGTCAATTAGCTGTTACAAAACACTTACCAGCTTAATGGCAACATGTTCATTGTTGTAGAGGTTCTTCCCTGAAACAAATAACATGTTTTACTCAGCACCACATTCAGTAAATGATGTTTTTTACTCAGCAACCACATGAGTATATATCACATCTCGTGGATACAAACATCATATCAAACATCCATACAACAGATTGCATATGGAGAGTCATGATCTGCCCTATGTATACACAAGAGCAAAGACTAACTAACTATGAGAGATAATATGAAATTTATTCTACGTTTGCTACTGACAATGCTCATCAAACATGCAATAATCAAAGTTTGTTAGAATTCTTGTAGGAGTAGAGGGAAAGGGGACAAATACATATCACTGACAATGAAACACACACATGCAAGAATCACAAGGTACATACAAACCCTGCAAACTATCAACTACATAAGGCCATGGAAATGAGCTCAGGTTAGGAATAAGCTGGTCAGTTGCTGACCAAAGTCTAGACAAACAGAATGTGGCAATGCCAAATCGGGGGAGTCGCAGAAATAGGAGTGATAGGGTGGATGTTCAACTAGTAGCAGTTTTCTAATTTTATACTTAAACTGACTGATATTATTCCAAGATGATTGGATAATAGTGTAAAAACTATACCTTACTTTGTTATTCTTTACAACTTGCAGTTATTCAGCTAGTTCGCTGAAAGATTATCATCATTACTCATTGACTATTCGGTCTATAAGTGTCCTGAGTCAATCCTGCAACAAAAGAGCTGACAACACCAGTTCTGTGCTAGTTGCTTATTCTTCTTTGGCTTCCTGTTTAGTGCCCTTATCTGGCCCAACCCTCCTTTTAACTTGCAGTCTGGTCATGGTTACATATTCAGTCAGTCAGTTCTTGCAAATGCCTCATTTCTCATACAGCATTCAGTATATAAGCCTGGTCCATGGCCTGTCCGCCCTTCACAGTAGCTCTACCTGCAAGCCTATCAGCTTTCTCATTTCCGAGCATGCCTGCATACCCTGGCAGCCCTTACCACCACAGAGATACCAACGACTGTCTTCAGACCTGGCCCATCTCAATCTTCCTTGTACAGTGTAGTAAGTTATGTTTTTGCAGTGATCCAGGAGAGAGTTTAAGAGGTCAAAATGAGCTATACAGTGGTATTGCCTAAAGTGTTTACTATCCTCTCTGTGTGTAGCATGATGGACAGTGAACTTTAAGATTAAGGAAAACCTTGATGGCTAACCAGAATTGAGAATGTGAGCCACAGCGGTGTGGTGGCAAGAATGCTAACCGGCAGGTGCAGTGATTATGGGAAAGAATCCCAACTGATAAAGATTTTTTTTTTTTCAACTGACTAAGGCTTCTACATCAAAAGGACTTGAAATGTGTACCAAGAAATGTTCTAGCTAGTGAATATCATAATATGGGGACAAGAAAATGTAGACACAGACCAAAATAAAATACAGCTGTTAGAAAAACCTGTTCCTGCAGTCAAAGCTTAGGCTGTGACCTGGTTTTATTTCAAAACTCATTGGCCTTGGGGAGTGGCATTTCATTCAATGAATTATTATGTTTTTACCGTAATCAATCAATGAACAAATGGAGATAATTTATTATTCAGAGTTAGTTTGCAACCAAATGTAATAGTTCTAATACTACTTACTGATTTAAGTACTTTCAGAAAAGTACTTAGACTAATACTTAGTCAGTTCACTTTTGACTTCAGTCAGTAGTGTGCTGTACTTTTTGATGGTGTGAATCATTCAATATAATGAGCAACTCACCTACTCTCAATTCTCCAAAGTTACCACAGCCAATTTTCTTGCCCACTTTGAAGTTTGGGCCCACCATCAGCACCCCCGTATTGGTGGACGAAGTCGGTCGCTGAGTGTTGTGCATACTGCGAGATGCCCCAGTGGTGGTGGTGGTCGTCGTTCTCCTTCCTCCTCCAGCGATCTCCTCGTCTTCGTAATCCTTTCTCGGAGTAGTCATTTACGAAACGGTGTTAACTAAAACAACTGTAACACTGAATGAAATTATAATCTACTGGTCTGAAACCAGTGGCCACATATTAAATACGAATCCTTTAACTTTACTTTCCAGCACACCCCAAGAGAATATTCATAAAAATCTTCTTTGCTTCTAGCAAATTTTCAGGGCGCAGTTGTCGCAACCCCCAGTCTATAGGTCTACATGGAGGTACCCGACTGATTTTCACATCCATCTAATGTAGACGTTGACCGACGCGGTTATGTATCCGCTGAAAAGTCAGACTACATCTCATATTTCGCTCAAACTGGGGCTGAAATGTTCAGCTTTCACAGAAATCTGTCGTCTGGTCCCTTCCCCACAACCGCCCAACAACACACCGACTTGCCGGACTCCAACAATCCGCTACTTTATTTCCTCAGATAATTAATTTTATTTTTGAAGTAGTTTAAAATCCTCGACACAATTGTTTATTTTATGTCAAAATCCTGGAAATTCAAGAGATTTCGTTGACAAAATTTAACTTAAATTTTGTTATTCTCCTGAACTATTTGCAGAGGGCGTAGAAATCTCAAGAGAAATCGGCTCAGTGCGCATGTCGGGACACATGGTTTCTAGGCGGATCAGCCAAGCCAGGCGTTCGTGTTTGTTATTGGTATTAATACAAGTTATTTCTGTGTAATATTTATGGCATGTGCGTGCCGTGCATGGAGGTGGGCTAATTGGAGGTTTTTATCAACTAGATTAATTTCCCTGGAACATTTTTTGCAATAAATGTGAATCAGCTGATGCTGTGATGTCACTTCCGCATCAACAAATATGGCGGATGTTGATTGAAAACTTGACAGACAGAGATCCACTTGGTTTGTTTTGCTGCAAAAGTTGCAAAAGGCGAGAGAAAACATGGGCAATGATACCAGATTTCTAGTTGTAATTTCTGTCCTTGAAGGTACTTACTTTTATATACATGTTCCATTTGTAATTTCTACTTTCTTCATTGATACCCGTACGTTAGTAATTAACAGAAATAATATAAACATTTAGCATGTCCATTCTTGTTTTGTCTTCTGTTTATACTCTGTCTTACTTCTTGTTTTCAAATAAATTTAGCATTAAATAAAGTTTGTGGGAATAGAAAAATGAAGAAAACAAACTTTGTGTAGTACGCTTCGTTTGCCTGCAAGTAAGCACGCATGAAAACGGGTTGGAGTTGATCGCGATATGTATAACAATAAGTCACTCAATAAGTTATAAGTAAGGAAACCAAACACTAGTTTTAAAAAAAACTACACACTACATACACACCCTAGAAAGAAGGCAACTGAAGGAGAATCATGTCATACTATAAAGTGCTTTATTTTAGCTGCAGAATCCAGTTATTCACGTGATAAAGTCTACATAAAAGAAAAGAAGTGCACTATAGCCACTGAAGATGACGATCATGTAGATGAATGAGAGCGTATTTATATTTCTTTCCAATTGACATTATATGGAGGATAGCTGACTTGCTTAGGGAATTTATAGGATTAGGCCTTGCAGTGTACAGTGCTAGCAATAAAGACTATAGTGGCTGAGTGAAGGACCAAAGATTAATTGGCCGTATTTCCAGCCATCAAGTCCTCTCCATAATTGATTATAGTTTACAACATGAATATTTTAAGTTTTACATTGGAAAAAGCTGCAGCAAATAATAAAAAGTAGACTCTACATAAGGTACTTCTAACAGAAGGATGGAATATATGCTTGGGCTTAGGGCAGTGAGGCATATACTTCATGATCTCAGACTAATGCTCACATAAGTTAGATTAATCATACACAACCATGGCATGGGGACCTGAATGCTAGAATAATTAGAATGTCATAGCTGAATAATATAGGGTGACATGCAAGGCACTGCAAAGGTCGGAAAGTTAGTTGAAAGTCTATGACTCATTTGGGAGCTAACAGGCAGAAGCAGAAGAAAGTTGTATTTGCTATCAATATAAACCTGTGGCTTAGGTGTTGCAAACACACTTCATAGGGCCGGGTTTGATACCAGCTGCGGATGATTTGTCTTGCCTTGTTTCGACAGGGGTGTCGAGAGCTGGCCGTCAGAGAGCAATGGCAAACTGCTGAACGTAAACTTTGACTGGAAAAACCACAACATCCAAATGAAAGCTGGGATTGCTACTGCAACGTCCTGTAAAGAAAATGCAACTAACTTTTTATCACAATGTATCTCACTCTGTCTCAGAGATAATAGGAGGTTTTGAGCTGAAATGCTGTAGAATTTTCAATTTCAATTTACCCTAAACAAACATGGTCGCTATATTTAGAGTAGCTATATTTAGCACTGACCTAAATCTGGTGGGATTGTACAGTGTGTTACTCATCACAACAGACATAATATTTAAAAAATGAAACACCTAGATGTCACGTGATGTCTTTGGGCTATCCAGGGTCTTCCATAATGCCTTTGTTTGGGGTGAATTGAAATTGAAGAACTGGAAATTTAAATATTTTTGCCATATCAGGCAGCATAGCAGCTTGGAAAGAATAGTAGAACAAGGAAAGGTGTCTGGAAAAAAGGGACAGAACTGAACAGCACAAGGCACAGTGTCAGGAAAAAGGCAGTACTGAACAGCACAAGGCACGGTGCCAGGAAAAAGGGACAGAACTGAACAGCACAAGGCACATGGTGTCAGGAAAAAGGGACAGTACTGAACAGCACAAGGCAATGTCTCAGGAAAAAGGGGCAGTGCTGAACAGCACAAGGCACGGTGTCAGGAAAAAGGGACAGTACTGAACAGCACAAGGCAATGTCAGGAAAAAGGGGCAGTGCTGAACAGCACAAGGCACGGTGTCAGGAAAAAGGGACAGTACTGAACAGCACAAGGCACGGTGTCAGGAAAAAGGGACAGTACTGAACAGCACAAGGCACGGTGTCAGGAAAAGACGACAGTACTGAACAGCACAAGGCACTGTGTCAGGAAAAAGGGACAGTACTGAACAGCACAAGGCACGGTGTCAGGAAAAAGGGACAGTACTGAACAGCACAAGGCACGGTGTCAGGAAAAAGGGACAGTACTGAACAGCACAAGGCAATGTCTCAGGAAAAAGGGGCAGTATTGAACAGCACAAGGCAATGTCTCAGGATAAAGGGACAGTACTGAACAGCACAAGGCACGGTGTCAGGAAAAAGGGACAGTACTGAACAGCACAAAGAGGGGCACAAGATATAAGTTACATCTTGGGTACGAAAGTGTGGGAGAGCTGGAGAGAGAGACCAAGCTTCTTTCAGGCGGTCTGTGATGAGAGTGATGTTCCATAAAGGAGCTGCTACACGACGATGATATGATATACTTCACTTCATTCCTGGCACATCTGGTGGTGCTCAGTCTCCTGTGATGGTGAATGAACACACACACATCAGCATGTCACAGAATTATAATACATGTGGTTTTACCTTGTATATTATAGAGGAGCAACTGGCTGAATGGCTAGAACACAGCGCTGTCATGTTAGAGACCCAGGTTCAGTCCTTGTTACAGTGATAGGGACTTTTTCAGTCGGGGGGAATTTAACAACTGCACTAGCCATGTTGCACTGACTCCCCAAGTTTTGCACCCCCCAAGCCCCCCCCCCCCCCCCCCCCACCTCTCTTTTCTTCCTATAAAAAGTGATACCTATAGGCAGTAATGACCATGTTTCTTACAGAGACATGTTATAATTGGTAACAGTTATAAAGCAGATTGTTTTTAATTAATTTGTCACTGACCTATATTTTGAAAGGAAGTCTCTCATACCTTTTTTAGATAAAATATGAGAATATGTACTTGTTGACAATATTTGTTGTTGTAGGTCGTGGCTTCCCTAAAAGACCCAAGCATAAATTAATTGTGGAAGCAAAGTTTGATGGAGAATTATTGGCAACAGACCCTGTAGCACATTCTGAGTCGCCTGACATCAACCAAGAGCTAGCCTGGGAACTGACAGGAAAAGCTCTGCAGCAGCACCGTCTGCAGAGGAGCACCATTAAGATCCAGTGCTATGCCTGCGATACAGAAACAACCATGAAAGAATCTGTGGGATATGTGGTGCTAGATCTACGATCTGTCAGTCAAAATAAACAGGTGGTCTTTTCTTCCTTTACGTAAACACTTATTTGTTTTGGACTTCTGTTTATTATCTATGTATACCCTTATCATGAAAAGGATTGAAAGGAAATTACAATTTGAGCTAGATGAAGCACAACGGGTTTCAGACAGGGTAGAACTAGGAAATCACATCTTTAATATGAGAATAATTTTTGAAAAATGCAGAGAATACAACATGGATCTTCATGCTTGTTTTATTGATTTTATCAAGGCATTTGATTGTGTCCAACACCACAAACAGTGGACTATAATGAAAAGAATGGGCTTTACCAGCACATTTAGTGCATTTAATTGAAAATCTTTATCATGAACAACAAGCAGCCATCAGAGCAGCTGGTGAAACATCTGATTGGTTCGAGGAGCAAAAGGGGGTGAGGCAGGGGGGCATTATCTCACCATACCTATTCAATATGTACGCAGAAAATATAATGAGAAATGTCAAAGATGACCAGACTTGTGACAGTTATGATCCGCTCAAAATTGGTGGCAACCCTCTTTCGGACACAGTCCTCCTTTCGAACAGGGAATAAAGGGAATAGAAAATGTGGCTATCCTCCGAATAACGGTCGGTAAAGATGGCAGCTGCAAAATATTTTTTCGAGCCACAGTCACATGTCAGTTACGCATTTCTGGCGATTTAATTTGCGACTACCGCCGCCGCTCACGAGGTGTGGATTGGGGCTAAACAAGAACGGCTAAGACCCACGAGCAGCAGCTTCCGCATCTCCTGAAGCTTTGCTCGTGAGTCCTAGCCATCTAGTTTAGCCCCATTCCATGCCGCATGGGGGACTCGTGGCAGTGGCATAAAACTGCCAGAGAACCACAAATTAAGTCACGTGACTGTGGCTCGATGGGATATTTTGTGGCTGCCATCTTTACCAACCGTTATTCGGAGGATAGCCGAAAATTTAGTGTTGTCTGTCCAAAAGCACAGTGAAGATCAAAATCTGTTCTTGAATTTAAAGAAAACTAAAATAATGTCCGCAGATAAAACTGGCTTCACCCAAAAATAACAATAAATATTGAAGAAATTAAAAATGTCACAAACTTTGAATATCTAGGCTCTATAATAAACAGCAATATAGACTGACATAAATTAAAAGGAGAATGTCCATAGCAATGCAAATGTTGAACAGCCTTAAATGTCTATGGTTAAGTACCAGCAAGGAAAATTATAATTTTGAGAGCATGCATCTTCCCTGTGACTACATACGGATGTGAGTCGTGGGCTATCTCTCAGTCCTTAAGAAAGAGAATAGGGGCTTTTGAGCTGAAATGCTATAGAAAGATTTTCAGATTATCTTGGACAAAGAAGAGGAGAAATACTGACATCTTGAACGTTCTGAACATCAAGGAAGATTGGCTAATAAACAGCATCATGTCTCAGAAGCTGACATATTTTGGTCATATCAAGCACCACTGCGGATTAGAAAAAAATTATAGCAGAAGGCATGGTACCAGGAAGGAGGGGCAAGGGCCAACCGACACAAAGATGGACACAGGATATAAGTGACTCCTTGAGTATGAAAGTACATGAGGCGGGAGAACTGGCGATAGACCAAGTTTCTTTCAGGCAGACTGATGAGAGCAACGTTCTGCAAAGGACCTGCTACATGATGATGATGCCCTTATCTAAGCTATCCTTATAAATTCCAAGTTTAAGTGTGCATTAAACACGCTTAAGGTTTTAGCTTATGAGTGGAATTGTTTTTTGACTGTCTTTATACTATTTCTTCTAAACCAGACTGATCAGTAGAAGAAATCTGGATCTTTCTGTTCTATAACAATACTACATACAGGAGCACACACTCTCTTGTTCTTTTTATTTGCCACATTCCTGGAAGTAGACACCCAGATACCCATTAGGCATAACCTTAGCTTCAAGTTGTATGCCTTAGGCATCCTCATAGTTTCAAGATTGTTCAATTTATATGCTTTAGGCATCCTCTCAAGTTTAATTTGTGTTCTTTGCATCATTGAGTAATGTGTTGTTAGATTTAAGATCTCACTATTTTGAAACGCAGACTAACAGTGTGTAGATTTCAAAGATACGGTTCCAGGCATGTGGACGTAAAGCCATTGATTGTGCTACAAGTTGAGAAATGGTGCAGGAGCCAGTAAATGTGTGCAAGATTGGTGCTAGAATGTTAGATTTTCGGATCTAGGGCAGGGGTGGGAAAACTATGGCCTGTGGTTCAAAACTGGCCCCAAAAGGCTGATGTAAAATGACTATAATCTGGCCCTTGAGCTCACAGAATAGCAGAACTCATGTTCATGTGCAGGAAAAAGAATCCAAGTATCAACATTGAATATAGGTGTTACCCCTAAACAATGATATCCAAGAACTGATTTCAAGAAATCTGTGATCCTGCTAGTCAAACACATGTTGCACACAAACTCAACATTAAGAGACAGTGTCTGTTAGTGGACTTTGGTAATAAAATATAAGGCATTTCAGAGACACAGTCTCAGGCATATGGGAGTAAAGAGGGTGTTTGTGTTACAGGTTGGGAAATGGTATCAACTTCTTCACAGTAAATACAGCAAAACAAAGGCAGAGCTTAGGCTTGCCCTGTACCTGGATGAAGATCCGCAAGGTCAGCAGACTGCATCAGCACCCTTAAGTAGTCCAGGTAAAATGTGAAGTTTGATTCTGATTTTTCTGGCACTTTACATCACTTCTTTTTTTTTTCTAGTGCAAAAATCATGATTTGTATTTATTGCGACTGTCTCTTTGGGCTGTGACCTGTTGACAGTTAAATACCTTGGACCTGTGGATTAAAACCTAGGTAACTGAATTCCAGGAGATATCCTCGGGAAGTAAAGGCTTCCACCTTGAAGTTGACCGCATCAGTTTTGAAAAGCTGAGTGGTCTGATTTGCTTTAAAGCATGAAAATGCTTCTTTCTAGACCCAGCACCTGCGTCATTACTTTGCTAAGCTTGTTACATTCCATCTTGCAATGTAATGTTCCAGTACTGATCTTGCACATGTTGCTGGCCCCATTCCATTGTTTGGAGTGCCCTGGATCAGTCCCCTTAAAGATGGTACACATGTTTTGAGACCCCTTCAGGATAATACTACAGGAAACAGTGATAGCAAATGGAAACAAATGAAAGCAGAGAAAACCGCTACTGATTTTAAAGAATGAACAAGATGTAGTATTGCCACATTGAGTATGTTTCTGTGGTCAGAGAACTTATTCCTGGTACCTCTAACATGACACCACTGTGGCTTTCAAATGGTATTACACAATAAGTTGATAATGGATCAGTATGTATTGACTTGTGTAGGTAATCACACCTGTCTCCTAAACTTGTTGTTCTGTACCACTGGATGTATCTGTTACAGCACTGACATCTTTCTCTGCTCTCAGAATCATTCTGTATTCCATTTTGTTTAGAGAGATTTGTGTGAATATAAGACTGTCTTGTTTCTGCATTATACAGCTTCTGTTTTTTTTATCCCCACAACTCAGAACCATTAATCAGTCAAGGACCAGTGGACGTGAAATCTCTGGTGCCTGTGTTGAATGAGGCTGATGGATATTACCAAATTGGTCCAGTGAAAACCTGCTCTGAGCTGTTTGTGTTGTCGGTCACCATAGCATATGCCAACAACCTACCCCAGGTATGTAGGTCAGTTGTCAACTCTGTAGCTCAATGTGGTTGAGTGCTGGCACAGTGGTGGTATTTTAGACATTGGCTTCTGGATGTTAATGTGCCAGAACATAAAGACATGGATTCTTAACTTCCAAGTATAGAAGAAAGCATAGCTGTAGTGATCAAAGTTCTTCTTCGCTTTCTGATATACACTGACAGATAAGTTCTTGTGATAAACTTGACTGTTTTTAGAAGTTCCTTTTGAGTTCCATACAACTTTGAGTACAGTGTCGACTTCTTTATGTGGCTGTACAATGTGTAATGTATCACTGACTTGCTCCCAAGGTACATGGGTATAGGATAGGTTTCAGTGGTGTTTCATTGGGTGTGACCACATACTATTAAACTTCTCCATCTGGATCATAGTTTTAGTGTCTCTTCTATAGGACAGTGTCTGCATTGCAGTTATTTTTCTGGATCTCCAGGATTGGTGCAGTTTTCATGGATCCTGTGATGGGTCTGACAGTTTGATTTTGCACTCTGTCTAACGATTGAAGATGGGAATTAGCAGCTGATGACCATGCTGTTGCACCAAACTTCAAATGGGGTCTTATCACTCCATAGTAAACTTTCTGTAGGGTTTTTACATTCACTCCCCAACTTGTACCTGCCAGTTTTCTAAGTAGCCCTAGTCATCTCCTGCTTTCCCTTCTACATTTTCTATGTTTGCCTCACATCAAACTTTTATCAGATGTCACTCCAAGGTAAGTGAGGAAGTTCTCAACCTTTAATAAGGATGTCCTTAGGTGAAGACTAGCAGCTTTGTCCCAAGGGGGAAAGAGAGAAAAGCGTTGATGATGTTTTGTCCCTGTTGATGGCAAGATGCCACATTTTCTGCCTATAGCATTAAGAAATCTGTTACTCGTTGCATTCTTAGATTTGCCATGGTGGAGTGTTCATCAGTATACCGGGCAGCCTTCACTCCTGCAGGGAGGTCTTTCAGCAGGTCATTGTCTAATATGACAGGAAGGAATATTTCTATCTGACGTACATAGATTTATAATTTCGATACGGAACTACAAGAAAGCCAACTGGGGCATTTACAGACACAGGACAAGTATGTTGCTGTCTGCTCTCAAGGTACAAGATAGGGACATCAATGCTATAGTGAAAGATTTCAACAAAAGTATTCTCCAAGCTGCTAAAGAAGCAATCCCTACAGACCTTACTGGTCCAGCACACCCCAGGAATGTCAGGAAATAATGATTCAGGCTAGAAAGGATGGGGAATACCAACCTTCACCTGACAACCACATCAAATGGAAAAATGCTGTAGCAGTGTCCTAGAGAACAAAACTTGAAGAAAAGCTGGAGAAATAAAACAGCAGCTCTAAACCTTGAGAAAGATGGCAAGAAACTTTGGAGATTTTGCCAAAATCACTCAATAAAGAGTCTCTCTCGAAGACAATCACACTGAGAGAAGGTGACAAAGTCTTCAGAGGAAAACAAGCTGCAGACTTGTTTGCCAGAACATTTAGTGTTGAAAGCAACCTGACCCTCAACAAGGACCACCAGAGATTAACAAGGACAGAAATACAAACAAATGAGTCAAATATTCCTGCCTCTATAAAGGAACATTTCACAGTCTGTATACAATTAAGCCAGATCTGTAAAATGAATAAATTCAGCTCTGGAACAAGACCAAAGTCCATAAGTAAATGAACAACCAGAACTTTCCATGAAGTTTACAGCCGGTAAACATGACAGAAATATGAAGAAGACAGGATATCCTGAGAAAAGCTTGTATGAGCGCATCATGGAAACACAAAATAGAAACTGTTGGGAGCTCATTGCAGCTGACTTTCAATCTGAACATGGCATTTGTTGATGATGCATAATTGTACCAACTTATGTGACTGAAAATAAATGCTTAGCTATTATACCATGTCACTGCAGTGTTTTAAACTCAGTCACTTGTTGCTTCTTTTCAGTTGATTCCCAGCAGTGTCCCACTGTCCAGTTCCTCCAATGGCTTTTTCTTCTACTACTCTCTGCTGGGAAATGATGTCACAAATGAACCATTTTTTGATCTGGTCAATCCTAACTTCCCTGCAGAGAGAGCTTCAGTCAAAATTCGAAGCAGTGTCGAAGCACTTCGTTCATTTTTCTCACATCAGCCAGGTTTGCAGGTAAACTATTTTTGACTGGGTTGTCTAAACAAAAAGTGTATCTGTCCGCTTTGTTTGTGACATTGATTTTACTCTTGAGTGCAAATGGGTTTTGCCCAGTCATGCCCGAGGGACTGGTTAATATGTCCACTCCAACTCACTAACCTGTTTGTTAAGGTGGCTGATTCAATTGCTTTTAGTTAGGAAAAGTGAAGACAAACATGTCTGCTTGATTTACCACAAAGTAAAAATTATCTGGCTTAAAAAATATGTGTATAATGTTTCATAACCAAATTATGCTTTTTTAAAACTTTTGGTTAGCTGAGCTGCACATGAAATAGTTAAGAGACTACACCATCTGCATTTGGCTCATACAGATTAGTTAGTTAGTTAGTTGGGTTATCCTCATTGCACTCCGGACATGTCCATAGGTGCTCAGATCCTCCCCTCAGTATGAACCCCAACGTCCGATGGCTAATAGTACCAGTTCTATGTTGATTAACAAGTCTTCTGGCGTAGCTGGTGTGCGTCTCGTTTTTTGCTGTGCCGATCTTAATTCCCAAGTCTGCCATTCTGGCGAGTGATGTGGATTCACTGCCACCAAAGTCGTCTATCCTTCCCATTTCTCTGAGGGCATTGATAATATCAGCATGATCCATAGGCTGACCGTCGGTAGTGATAGCGGATCCAGCCAACCTGTCAGCTCTTTCATTTCCATCGACGCCTGCGATACAGATTTGGCTCTTCATGAAATGTGCTGTGTATTGTAGAGCCCCTAATCCTAGGGTAGTGGATACGATGTGTACCATTCTCAGACAGGGGTGAAAAAAACTAGAGGCCATATTTGTATGCATGTTAATAATCTCTTTTTGCACTTGGAAATTGAAAAAGAGCAGGCCAGATTGTCTGTTTGATAACTGTTTGTCGCATGACAGCCCACACACCCCTTTGGTCATGGACCTGTCCACATCTTGTCATCTCTGGTAATGAGGCACTTTCAAATCTTGGACTTTCCTCTATAGGCAAATAATCCTTCTTTTGTACTTATGTGTCAAGATGTTGGGTTAAGTACTAAATTCTATCCTAATTCTCTTGGGAATTACGTATATTTAAATTTAGTGATATAAGTGGAGGATTTATTGATACAGAAGCCAAATTCTATTGGCCTGACTACCGCTTTGAACGTGGATGAATCCCCTCCCGCCTCTAACTGGGGCGACACTTAATTTAAACTGATTCTTGACTGAGCTTTCAGAGTGAACAGATGGGCTTGCTGCCTTTTCTGTCTATTTGCTTACCTCCGTTGTGATCACCGATTCATCCGGATAATGTCTATGTGCCTGGGATGTTATTAATATCTGGAGGCCAAGTCGACTTTCAGTATCCTTAAACTATCCAGTGTAACTCACACCCAGCTTACAGGATGAGGGATCCCCAGTGAACAACTCATTTCTGTCAAGGCGCCATGTCAGTGGCTCCATAGCTGACAACTTTGTTATTCTGGCAGGTGCATCATTAGCTTAAATCTTCAACCCAGAAGACTTTATGTGAGGGGTTGCCAACAACTACCACGACCAGAGTGTGGCATTAAGTAATCTTAAACTGTAACTTATTAACACCGCCTTTTGTCCGGGAGATAACATTGGCTATTCTTAACACTTATATGTGGTATAGAAGTCAGTCAAAGGTCTGCTAATTATAGTGACTAATATACAGTCTTCATGAGCAAATTCACAATTCATCATGCCTGCACTGCCAGATGTGGGAGGAGGCCTCAGTTCAACTAAACAGGACATCATGGACAGCTAAGTGGGATCACCAGTACCTGCCATCAACTCTAACATTCAGTGCCAGTTCCCTAGGCCAGAATTCCACAGGTTGGCAGTGATGAATATGGCTGTGACTGAGGACTAACCAGGACTCCATCTGGAGGGGTATATTCTTTGCTTCCTCAGCTGGTTTGATTGATCTTGCTGAATTGTTTTCTTTATTTTCCTACATGTGTTGCACTGATTACATGATGTTTTGGTATTGTATATTCTGTAGTTAGTGTCCATCCTTCAAAGTTCTTAAGCTGTCTCTAGTATTTGTTGTATTGTTATGCTTCATGTTATACTGTGTTAATTTGACTAGCCTAGGATTACTGTCTAGTCTGGGGACTTAGAAGTAGTGGGGAAGCCAGTCCAAATTGCACCTAGAAATGTTTATTAATTCTGTAGTGCCATAATTTGAGTCACCTCACCCCTGAAGTAGGTTTGAGGTTCTTTGGAGCTGCGGGATACCGTTTAGACCATTGCGAGCCAACATCTCAACACTAAAACTACTTCAGAGTGCCTTTTGGTTCATTAGGGGAAACCATAACAAAGGCACTTGACACCAGCATTATGTGACACTGTTGATCTTTCTCTTGATATTTTCATGATAAATCTTTGTTATGGGAAAATGTGATACATTTGGTAGTTGCAGTTACTGCACCCAGGTGTAAAACCTCACCTTCCTAAAAGTTGTCTTTTTCATGAAAATTGATGTCATCTGTTTAAAGAGTGGTGTAACTTGAGTGTTGTGCACATGTTAGAGTGGTGTAACTTGAGTGTTGTACACATGTTAGAGTGGTGCACATGTTAGAGTGGTGTAACTTGAGTGTTGTGCACATGTTAGAGTGGTGTAACTTGAGTGTTGTACACATGTTCAGGTCCATCTTTGCTGTGGAGACCAGTCGTTGGGCAGCTGTGACATACCTCTGGGAGCCCTTCTCAAGTCAGACAGCACACAGATCTACATGAGGCCTGTATCTATCGAGGGTGCCTTCCAGGTGAGTTGCCTTTTCCTCATCGTTATCAGCTTTTGTATTATTTGGTCTGATGGGGTGATGATCTGCCTTTATTGCGCTCAGGTACCTTTGTGAGTGCTTCAATCTCCTAAGATGAAGGATAATTTTACCTTAGTGCATGAACCTAAGATCCTGAATCACACATGCTATAAATATCATGATTTTTCTCCCTTTTATCCGCATGGCAGCTTACCAAGGATGGCTACCATATAACTACACATGGTAGCTGCCAGTGATGGCTAAGGAAGAACTGCCAGTGACGGCTAAGGGAGAGCTACACAAGAGAACTACCAGTGGTGGCTATGGGAGAGATACACAAGAGAACTGCCAGTGACGGCTAAGGGAGAGCTACACAAGAGAACTACCAGTGGTGGCTATGGGAGAGATACACAAGAGAACTGCCAGTGGTGGCTATAGGAGAGATACACAAGAGAACTACCAGTGATGGCTAAAGGAGAGAGACACAAGAGAACTGCCAGTGATGGCTAAAGGAGAGATACACAAGAGAACTGCCAGTGATGGCTAAGGGAGAACTACCAGTGATGACTAAGGGAGAGCTATTCAAGAGAACTACCAGTGATGGCTATAGGAGAACTACGTGGTTGCTACTATTTTTAACAAAGATTCAAATTGTACAGGCTATTTGAGTAAACAATTTTCTCAGAAATCAGGTTATAATTATTCCCTTGATGTGTATGCAGGAACTTGCTGTCATGAACTTCTTGTATTTGTTTCTATAGTTGACCCCTGCCAGTCAGTCCCGGCAGCAGGTTGCAGCATTGCCCAGTAACATTCAGCCTTGTGTTGGGGTCTCCGTTGTTCTTCGCAAGGAAGACTTGGTAAACGCCAGAGTTTTTTGTGTGTTTTTAAATTTAGTGCCACCTGACAGTTATAGTTTACGAAAACAAACAATTTCATTAAATGAGGGTATTGTTTTAAAAGGGGATTTTTTTTTAGTCACTTTAGAAAGGTTCAGAAATTAAATGATATACTTAATTCAACATGATTCTGTCAGTAATATTGTAATGAATGATATGTGTATAGTTTTTACAAATGTCACAAATAAGAGAACATGGTGTTGTAGTGAGAAACAGTCCGTATTGTTGAATGTGATAACATGGCAAGCTTGTTTTTTTATATCAAACTCTTTGTTCAATATGCTGTTCTATGTGGTATAGCTTTTTGTTCTTAATCCCAATTGCATTATCATATTATAATTAGAGAAGGTGTGTATGAAATGTATGTATGTGCGACATGTGTTTGTATCATTTTGTGTATGTGTGTGCATCTTGACTGTGTGTAAATGTCTGTGTATGTGTCTATTTGTGTGCACAGGTGTGTGTCTGTTAGCATGTATGATTATATGTATGTGTGTGCATTTCTGTGTATGCATGTGTGGGCCTGTGTGTATCTGTCTGTGTACATGTGTGTATCTGTATGCATATATGCCTAATGTATGTGTGTGTGAGTATTTGTATGCATCTATGCTTTTTGTGTGTGTGCATGCGAGTGTGCCCATGCATTTTAACACCAGTGTTTTTTTTCTTGGTATTCATAATATGCATATTATTATATAAACATAGCATTTATTGATAAAATACAAGTGCCGTGGAAAGATGGGAGTTTGGAAGGGCCAAATGTAAGACAGGCCTGCGTGCCTAATTTGTGACCCTTTGAAAATAAAGTTTGTTTGTTCGTTTGTTCATTCATTCTGTATTCACCCTTCAATGGACAGTTGACATGCTATGTTGTGGCTTGCAGCTAGGCCCAGACATTCAATTGATGCAGACTCCTCATTCATCATTTTTTATGTTGAGCTTATTAGAGGGCAGTGGGTCTGTTCACCTTGTCCAGAATGGGGCCTTGGAACCCCACAGGAAGTGGAATAGCTAATTTCTTCAGCCCCTGGTGGATGTTCTTTAACCCTGCCTGTTTCTGTTAGTACTTCCTGTCCAGGGTGGCTATTTTACTATCTGACTTGAACACCTTTTGATTAAAAAAAATGCAGGATGGGATATTTTAGTGAATTCTGTTTTTCAGGCAGTGAAAAGTCCAACTCGAGATAATAAGCAGGCGGCTCTCACCACAGAAGCCCCGCCTGACGGTGACAGTCAGACTGTCTCACCTGAACCAGACAAGAAGCCAAAACACAAGTCACGGCAGAAGAAGCAGGAGATGACAACACTTCGGGAAAATGGAGCCGGTACCGGACTCAAAGGAGATTTTGCAAGAGAGGCATGAACCAACAGCGTCTGATGTTCAAGGTTAATTATAATAATGAATGAAATATTTTCTTTCTTGTTCCTTCCACTTCACCTATAGCATATTGATAAGTATGTGCACTCATATGTCAGTTTTACAGACCCCCGTTTCACAGATACCATAAACAGCAGCCGATGATGTATTTTCATTTTAGAATTGTAAAACTGCTGAGGACGGGTTGTGCGCTGCTGCTGAATTTAAGTTATCAGATTTACAGTGTACAAGTATTTTACATTGTTGCTTTTGCAAGGGAAAACCCCTTATTAGTCGACATTGTTGCTTTTGCAAGTCCACTTTTTGTTCCAAAACTTGAGTTTTGCATGCACTCCTGTTTTGCAGATCTGGCTTATTTGTATGCAGACTGTTGGTTCTCAGCTCCACAGAGGCACTCTGACTTAAAGGGGAAAACCCCTTATTAGTCAACATTGTTGCTTTTGCAAGTCCACTTTTTGTTCCAAAACTTGAGTTTTGCATGCACTCCTGTTTTGCAGATCTGGCTTATTTGTATGCAGACTGTTGGTTCTCAGCTGTCACAGAGGTATCTGACTTAAAGGGGAAAACCCCTTATTAGTTGACATTGTTGCTTTTGCAAGTCCACTTTTTGTTCCAAAACTTGAGTTTTGCATGCACTCGTGTTTTGCAGATCTGGCTTATTTGTATGCAGACTGTTGGTTCTCAGCTCTCACAGAGGCACTCTGACTTAAAGGGGAAAACCCCTTATTAGTCGACATTGTTGCTTTTGCAAGTCCACTTTTTGTTCCAAAACTTGAGTTTTGCATGCACTCGTGTTTTGCAGATCTGGCTTTTTTGTATGCAGACTGTTGGTTCTCAGCTCTCAGAGAGGCACTCTGACTTAAAGAGGAAAACCCCTTATTAGTCGACATTGTTGCTTTTGCAAGTCCACTTTTTGTTCCAAAACTTGAGTTTTGCATGCACTCCTGTTTTGCAGAGCTGGCTTATTTGTATGCAGACTGTTGGTTCTCAGCTCTCACAGAGGCACTCTGACTTAAAGGGGAAAACCCCTTATTAGTCAACTTTTACATATTTTTTCTTAACAGTGGGACACCCAAAACGCACACAGAGAAGTTAACTATCCCTAGCAATTGATTTGCACAGGTCCATGTGTGGGTTGTGGGGAGAACAAGAATAAACCCACTACCTTCACAACCAGAACTGACATCTGAATATACAGCCGTTGAGCATCAAGAAGAAGAAGATTTACACACATCTCAGTTCAGTGCACAGATGACAACAGCTGCATAATACCCTAATGAGAAAACTGGTCAGTCTCTTCACTGGACCACAAGGTGACAGAAATGGGAAAACATAAACACACAGAGAAAAGGAATGGGAAAACATAAACACACAGAGAAAAGGAATGAGAAAACATAAACACACAGAGAAAAGGAATGGGAAAACATAAACACACAGAGAAAAGGAATGGGAAAACATAAACACACAGAGAAAAGGAATGGGAAAACATAAACATACAGAGAAAAAGAATGGGAAAACATAAACACACAGAGAAAAGGAATGGAAAAACATAAACACACAGAGAAAAGGAATGGGAAAACATTAACATACAGAGAAAAGGAATGGGAAAACATAAACATACAGAGAAAAGGAATGGGAAAACATAAACACACAGAGAAAAAGAATGGGAAAACATAAACACACAGAGAAAATGAATGGGAAAACATAAACACACAAAGAAAAGGAATGGGAAAACATAAACATACAGAGAAAAGGAATGGGAAAACATAAACACACAGAGAAAAAGAATGGGAAAACATAAACACACAGAGAAAATGAATGGGAAAACATAAACACACAAAGAAAATGAATGGGAAAACAAACACACAGAGAAAAGGAATGGGAAAACATAAACACACAGTGAAAAGGAATGGGAAAACATAAACACAGAGAAAAAGAATATAGACGGAGGAGGACAATATGGGGGACAACCTGGCTTGATTTGGTTTTCAAATAGATGTTCAAAGACATAAGAAGAAAGAATCATTTTCTTTGATTATGTCATTGTTCACTTTTATGATCAAAACACAACTGTCTCTGGAATTCTGCTTGGTGTAGAGGCTAGATGCTTGCCTGCAGATGCAAAGGTTGTGCGTTCAAATCTGGACGGAAATTTGTCAGAAATGTCCTTGGCTTCCAGGTTGACCCAGCCTAAAGTGGATACCAGGTAAAATCCTGGGAAGTAAAGGTGGCCCGTGTGATGTTGACTGTATCACCCTCCAAGTACCTGTTGGTCTGTAAAATATAGAGCTAGCCCTATGTGACTGAATGCCTGGTACAAAAGGGTCCTACTTACTTACAACTGTCTTTGATTGGCTAGGTGATGTCACTCCACCAGCGCAGAAGCAGCCACCTAGGCCATCATCATCATCACAACAACAACAAGCACCACAGGAACATCAAGTTGTTGTCACCAATCTCCTTGACAACCATTTCAGTGAGTCATACATTCAAGATTCTCTCTTGGTCTGTTCTGAAACTTGCTGGAATTGGCACAGATATTATTTAAATAGCTTCTGTTTGTTCTTTGCTTCTTGTTTTTACTGTCATTATTTTATTTTGCTGTGAAGCTAGATCAGTTTGTTTCTGTACTCTGAATTGACAGTTGGGAGTTGTGATGTCACAGTGGCTGCTACACTTGTCAGTTGGCCTGTGGTCATTCGTTAGAATCCTTGTTGACAAGAGATGTTCTTTTAGAAAATAGACTGGGTACCTAGATCAACCCAGTCTTTTGTCCTTCTTAGCGTTCACCAGCTGCAACCTGCCATGAAGGGTTTTGGTTCTTCTCCCACTCCTGGAATTTGATCTTGACCCAGAATTTGAGTTTTGTGTGCGCATCTGTTTTACAGATCTAGCTTATTTGTATGCAGACTGTTGGTTCCTTGCCTCTCAGGCAAATGCACTCGGACTGTGAAGGAAACACCCCTAATTGGTTACCTTCTGTGACATGCTTGTTAGGTGTGCAGACTGTTAGTTCCTTGCCTCTTAGGCGAATGCACTCGGACTGTGCAGGAAACACCCCCCATTGGTCACCTCCTGTGACATGCTTGTTAGGTGTGCAGACTGTTAGTTCCTTGCCTCTCGGGCGAATGCACTCGGACTGTGAAGGAAACACCCCCCATTGGTCACCTCCTGTGACATGCTTGGTGTACAGTGGGTCTATTGTTTGTTCTCCAGAATAGAGCCCCGGAACCCACACATGCAAACCCGGTCTGAAACCCGAAACCCACACATGCAAACCCGGTCTGAAATAGATCCCAGAAATTGCTGTGAGAAGTAGAGGCAGTAATATGATGTTGATCATCTCCCCTATTGAGTGTGAACTGGTCTGTACGTATGTAGAGCTAGCATCATAAACCAAATACACTTCCTGGCATGTGAACTGGTCTGTATGTATGTAGAGCTGGCATCATAAACCAAATACACTTCCTGGCATGTGAACTGGTATGTATGTATGTAGAGCTGGCATCATAAACCGAATACACTTCCTGGCATGTGAACTGGTCTGTATGTATGTAGAGCTGGCATCATAAACCAAAAACACTTCCTGGCATAGGAGCTGGTCTGTATGTATGTAGAGCTGGCATCATAAACCAAATACACTTCCTGGCATGTGAACTGGTCCTTGACCTTTTATCTAACTCAAGAACAGGCGTGTGAAGTTGATTGAATGAATGGTTGTTTTTTTAACAGGAGTTCCAGAGAATGTTGCGTTTCCACCTCAAGCTCACCACTTTACGTTCAGCATTGATCTGCGCAGTATTCGGGACAACCACTCCACGAACACCATCAACGTTTTTCTGAGGTGAGGTCACGGAGTCATTACTTGATATTCAAGAACCATTGTCATATTCATTAGTTGTCTCTGATAGCATTGGCTTATAGTCCTGACTTTGATCGGCTTTCCCCGAAACCAGTTCATCTGTAGCATTCCTAACTTCTACACTTGTTGGAAATGTGTCCAGATAGTCAAGAGTTGGTAGCGTCTTCATGGCATTAAGAGCATCATTTATTTGGTTTGTTTCAGCTGAGTATAGGTAATCTTCCACCCATCTATCTAGCTGCTTTTTTCTTATCAGTAATAATCTCCCCATTGAGACTCTTTAGTGATTCATCTTTTTTTTAAATAGTTTGGCCGATAGCCTTCTTCATCATCTCATGCACGACTCTAATAATACCACTACTGCTAGCATTTTGAATGCTTTCACATAACTGGATCCAGTAGTTGTTGGCACACTGTCTTCTAACTACACTTTGCTAATGATTTCTAGCTTCTCTCAGTTCACTGAGAGTCTTAATTCTGTTGACTTCTAGTCAGTATGGCAGACAGGCAGATTCACTGTTTTTATTGTGTCAAGTTCTTCTGGCAGTAGTTAACTGTTGCATTTTCCTCGATATGCAGACTGAAAGGATATAGTTCCTTTGCCCACCTAAGGGGTTGAGTGCATAGTGCGGCACAGTGAGATGAAGCATTTAATAAATGTGTATGCTATTGGTTTTGCTGAGACTGCAGTCTGCATCAGTTTGTTTTTTCTCTCAAGAGCAGTGTTGGACATTCTGTGGGGTTGTAAGTGGCACAGAGCAACTGTGTGGTTGTAAGTGGCACAGAGCAACTGTGTGGTTGTAAGTGGCACAGAGCAACTGTGTGGTTGTAAGTGGCACAGAGCAACTGTGTGGTTGTGAGTGGCACAGAGCAACTGTGTGGTTGTAAGTGGCACAGAGCAACTGTGTGGTTGTAAGTGGCACAGCGCAACTGTGTGGTTGTAAGTGGCACAGAGCAACTGTGGGGTTGTAAGTGGCACAGAGCAACTGTGTGGTTGTATGTGGCACAGAGCAACTGTGTGGTTGTAAGTGGCACAGAGCAACTGTGTGGTTGTAAGTAGCACAGAGCAACTGTGTGGTGACATGTTTGCTAAGAAGTTGGAATCATTGGTTACCTGATTACCTGCCTTATCTTAAATCTGTTTTTCATCTGACAAGGCATTATATTTTCACAGATATGTGTACCCATTTTTTGGGAGTGCTGCTCCAATCCTTACGCACCCACCAGTGGAAATCCGAAAAGGTTCCGAGGTCCTGCTTCCGCAGTCATTTTGTGCCTTTGACTTTGCTTGTAGCATGCATCAACTGCAAGAAACATTCACGAGGTGAGATATTGCCAGGTGTCACTTGCTGATTGCTTCTGTTTAGTTTGATGTGATGTTGGTATCTTTAATTAAGTGCTAATGTTTCTTAGTCTGGTTTTCATTTATTTTTGTTGTTGTTGTAATTCTTTGCTTTTTTTCTCTTATTATATGAATTTAATCTTCATGTATCCCTGGGTGACACGGGTAAACCTAAAAATGCAGTTCTGAGTCTGTGCCCAATATTGCATGTTTCACTCGTTATCACTAAATGTTCTGAGTCTGTGCCCAATATTGCATGTTTCACTCGTCATCACTAAATGTTCTGAGTCCTGTGCCCAATATTGCATGTTTCACTCGTCATCACTAAATGTTCTGAGTCTGTGCCCAATATTGCATGTTTCACTCGTCATCACTAAATGTTCTGAGTCTGTGCCCAATATTGCATGTTTCACTCGTCATCACTGAATGTTCTGTGCCCAATATTGCATGTTTCACTCGTCATCACTAAATGTTCTGAGTCTGTGCCCAATATTGCATGTTTCACTCGTCATCACTGAATGTTCTGTGCCCAATATTGCATGTTTCACTCGTCATCACTGAATGTTCTGTGCCCAATATTGCATATGTTTCACTCGTCATCACTGAATGTTCTGTGCCCAATATTGCATGTTTCACTCGTCATCACTGAATGTTCTGTGCCCAATTTTGCATGTTTCACTCATCATCACTGAATGTTCTGTGCCCAATATTGCATGTTTCACTCGTCATCACTGAATGTTCTGTGCCCAATATTGCATGTTTCACTCGTCATCACTGAATGTTCTGTGCCCAATATTGCATGTTTCACTCGTCATCACTGAATGTTCTGTGCCCAATATTGCATGTTTCACTCGTCATCACTGAATGTTCTGGTCATAATGGGGGTCCTGCTGTACAGAACAAGCGATCAGATCTTTCCACAAATGCATGTCTTCTGTGTTCCAGATCAGTTTGAATCATTTTTTTTTTGGTCAGTGTTGAAACTAACTAGTATTTTCTGCCTCTGTCATCCTATGAGACACTTGATCTTTCCTGTTGTCACAGCCTTCTCCAGATTTAGTGGTAGTTTATTTACTCATTTTGTATTTTAAGTAGATTGGTGAGCCACATTCGTTGTCTTGTCATATCAGGTCAACACTGGCAGGAGCACTTTTCAGAGTGTAAAACAGGTTTTAGTGTTTACAGCTTGTTCTGTGCTGTAAACCTACCTTGCCGCTTTCACTAGCTAAACAAAATAGTGGATTACCTATTGTTGACTGGGAAATGTTGCAGTTTGGCCAGATCAAAGAACAGGGAGGCTGAGTGGTCTCAGGGTATGGCATCCGCCTTAAGTGCTGGAGGTCTCGGGTTAAAACCCTTGTGAAGGATGGGATATTTTTCCTGTGGCTACTAGTAGTCTCTGTATAGTAAGACCGGACGCCCATGTGTATTGTTGTGCACGTACAAAAACACCTTGGCAGTTGGAAATAGATAAAGATAACGGTGCCACCAGGCAAAATTTGGAGTTGAAAATCTGCCCAAAGTATTTTGGGATCCTTGTGGGTGCAGTACAGTTCATGCACTGCGCTGAGATTCTTCAGGCTCAGGTTTTGGTAAGAAGTGGTTCGGATCACTTATGGGTTACACTCATGTTCCATGATATTGATCCATTGAATAAACATATAATAAATTAGTGGCTAATGTCTGGATGACATGCTTTGCCCAACCCTGCGGGTTTTGTCTTGCCCATATCACTCTCTTTATTTAATTGCTACATTGTGTAAACTGGTTATGGGGGGTTCCTAGAGTTTCTGACTTATCAAAATAGTTTGCTGGGGCACAAGGGTTAAACAGCTGGGCAGTGCAATTTAAACAACTCCTCCAGCTTCATTAAAATACCAGGTATTTCAACATGGGTTCACCTGCACTCTCAGTGACCCCAGCTTAAAATGAGCAACAGTTAATATTCTGGTAATTAAGATATCAGCTCACCCTGATTGTTCTGTAAAAATATGTAGTTAACAACATAAATCAGTCAGATAACAGATTCTCTAATTTTTTAAAAATTTTATAGTTGATCAAATATTGATGTGTTTATCTTCAGAGTTCCACTTGTTGTTGAGGTATGGCACAGGGACAAACAGCTCTCCCAGAACATCCTGATCGGAACAGCTAGACTGCCACTAAGTTTGATCATGTCTGCCGATAGAACTCGTATAATGGTAACTGTATTTTACTGTGTACAAGCTGTTTGATGTAATCTTACATGTGACTTTTGTGTCTGAAATAATGATAATCCCAAGTAGGACACCTACATGTCACACATACATGTCACACCTACATGTCACACCTACATGTCACCTTATTAAAGGTGGGAAGAACTTTCCTGATAAATTATGATACTGATAAGTGTGTTTTTTCCATCAAGATGATGATGACCACTCTTTTTCATCAAGTATGAGTACGAAGATGACAGATGAGGGCCTGAAAAGTTCTTGGAGAGTGAGGACAGGGAATGAGTGTTGTGCCAGGAAGGGGATCTCCTGCAGTCGCCTGTCTGTCCATTCTTTTCTTAATCAGTCTTGATGTTCTGTTTGCTTCACATGTAGCCGCGCCCTTGTGTAGAGCTGCACGCCATGCATTTCGGTCTTGAGAGGCAGCCTCCCAATTGGTGTCATTCATCCCAAATGCTTTGAGTGAACACTTCAAGGTGTCCTTAAAGTGTTTCTTTTGCCCGCCTTGGGAACGTTTCCTATTTTGTAGCTCACCATAGAAGAGTTTTTTTGGGAGCCTGTGATCTGGCATAACTTAAAAGTATATAGGCTGTTTCAGTTTTATTTGAACAGACAACCTACAGGCTGCATTATGATTTTGTTTCAAGATGAATCAGGAGTGAGGTAATAATTAAGTTGTGTTTGCTGAAATAATTAAGCTTCCTCTGTCTCTTAGAATAAAATAAGAATGGCTACAAATGAACCAATAGGACGCTGTCTGTGCAATTAGGTTGTGTCTGTTTTGGTGTGCAGATCCAGGGGGTGGTGGTATGTCATCTAGTAATATGTTGGTTGTTATTTCCTCAACAGAACTCATCAGGTGTGGCAGGCTGGAGACAAGAGGCATCAGACAGAGTCCCTGTTGTGTCAGCTGATGGGTAAGTGAACCTGAGTCTAGAGTCCTTGTTTTATCAGATGATGGTAAGTGAACCTGAGTCTAGAGTCCTTGTTTTATCAGATGATGGTAAGTGAATCTGAGTTTAGAGTCCCTGTTGTTTCAGCAGATGGGTAAGTAAGTGAACCTAAGTCTAGAGTTACTAATGGGTAAGTAAACCTGAGTCTAGAGTCCCTGTTGTGGCAGCTGATGGGTAAATGAATTTGAGTTTAGTTCATTTGAGGGTTATTCCTAGATTTGTTGAAATGCACTCACTGTGACCGTCTAAGACATAAACAAAGCTGACATCACTTAGCATGTTTCAAAGATAAAATAATTTTGCTATGTGCAGGATTGGATGTTTGGAAAGGCAGGCAGCAGCTCCCTCCTCCACAACAACAAAAGTATAACTTCGGAGCTCGACAAACAAAACACATATAATCAAATAACTCAACCGTGGTGCTGTGGTATCAACCACAGACGTAAGAGATAGTTAAGGCTGTTGTCATGTGTCTAAGGAGTTACTCTGTACCACACCTCTGGTGCCACTTGTCCTGCCCCACGTCCATGTTGTGCACCATGGATAGGTGCTCACCTTTGTTACCTAAACAAGTTGGCATGGGATCTCGGAGTTGGTAGCCTCTAGAGATGTAGTGTCCAGCTTGGCCGTCATCAGCCCACTCCCAGCCCTAATGCATTGGTGAAAATGTCTATCAAAGCTCATTTATAACATGGGTAAAGTCCGCTAGCCGAACATATTACTAAATGACAAGCCTCAGTTAAAAGTCTATCGAGTGGGAAAATTGCTGTACTGCTGAGATTTAGCCCTATAACTAGAGACTTGGTCATAGCCGAGACGAGCAACATTTCTTGGGGGCATTAACTCACAGAACAGTACTGCCTCTGTACATCCCTAATTGTTGCCCAGCGTTGACATCACTGCTTTGAGGTACACTATGACATTCTGCCACTGTCAATGTGCTGGTTTTACAAAAATTTATGTCTGATACAAGTCCACAAGACACTGAAACAAAGTTTCAAATGTCCGACCGTAAAAAAGTCCTACTACTCGTAAGAAAGATTCACATGCTTGTTACTGTTGGCCCCACTCACCAGAATATGGGATCTAAAGGGGGGAACCGTGCAGGATGTATACTTTTGCTATACTGTCTGGCCAGATGAAACAATGTTAAAGGTTTCTAACGTGCTGAAGGAAAATGTAACTATATGTGTGGTCATCAAAGTCCCAGACTTGAGGGCTGCTCCCTGCTGATCTCCGGTGGTTGTGGCCCATGTCGATTGGAAAGCTGAGCATACGGATGTGAGATTAGGCAGACATGTGCAGGACATGACGATTGCTTGGGTGAGCCCTGGGCCAGAGCATCATCTGTCAGCTCTGCATTTATGGAAGCCTTCTTGGATGGCAGGGAATGTCCATGATCTGCCCCTGCCTTCCCTTGAGGGCTGACCTTTCTAAATGCAGATGCCCTGGGCAGTGTCTCCAAGTGCAACACCAAAAAGAACGAAGAGAAACACCACACAAATAAGGCCCATACCATGCCCTTATCCGGAAAGTTATGTTGATGTGTTGGCCGAAAGGCACAAATATTGCAGCTCTGCTGTAAACAGGCACAATGTATTTACTTCACTTGGATGAACAAAAAGAAGAAGCAGAAATGTCTCAACCAAAATCTTTATTGGTGAATGAGGAACAAAACTAGTTAGTTGTTCCACTTCCAGTAAGTTGCTACATTTCTAGCTTTCCTATGTTTCCAAATGATTTGCTACACTGCTGGTATTAGAATTATCATTGTCATTTTCTGAGTAGAGAAGTCTGATCACCTGTATCGTATAACAATATAAACTTGACTTTTGACGAAGTCTATTTGGGTCCACTTGCAACATACAGCATCATCTTAAGCAGTCAGTTAGCCAAATAGTTGAATACTGTTGTACTTGAAAATCACATTATTCAGTATATGAGTGCAACAGATGGGGTGCTTGCCTACAGAAATCAGATGACTAATTTCATTTGGTTATAATTTCACAGAAAGCTGGACAAATGTGCAGAAATAAGTCTGGTTCTGAGCCTGGAGGATTGGGGTCCTATAGCAACAGCTCCGACCATACAGCAGGTAAACTGTTGCATGTTGGTGTGTCTTTGTTGAGAGTGAGAGAACCCCTGAGGATTAGAGTTCCATAGAAACAGCTCCAATCTCACAGCAGGTAAACTGTTGTATGTATGTGTGTAGTCTTTGTTGGAAGTGAGTGAGCTCCATGGGGTTTGATGACCTGGCATTTTGCTGGATTCTGATGTCACTTTAGAACCATCAGATAGATACAGAACACTGTGCTGGATAGAACACTGTGCTGGACAGAACACTGTGCTGGACAGAACACTGTGCTGGACAGAACACTGTGCTGGATAGAACACTGTGCTGGATAGCTGCATTAGAAATCAGTCATCGTGGATGGATTGGAGCTACAGATTTACTGAAACATTCATTAATCTGGTTTCACTTTTAGCATTGGGGGAAGTGATGTACACCATGTTTTTGCAAGGTACATACCAGGAATTGAACAGGATTACATGATTTAGAGGTGGGTGTTATACCATTGAGCCACACTACTCATAGTTAATTAATTAATAATAATGTTATTTCTGCTATAAGTTCTTCTTTGTAATCTATATACAGATATAGTATGAGCGTCAGCATGTGCTTTCTCTCCTTCTCAGAATTCTGGTGCTTCTGGTAACCAGGTGGCCCCGTTCCGGACCGCATCCTCAAGTGGTGGTGACGGTGCTGCTGCTAGCAGTCCCCGCAGCTCAGCAGAGTACCAGGCAGCTGTGGAGTTGGAACTGTGGAAGGAGAACCAGGAGAAAGAGTTTGAGCGACAGGTAATCTTTCTGTGGGTTCAGATTACCTCATGGCTGTGGTCTTGATTACCTCATGGTTGTTGTCTTGATTACCTCATGATTGTTACCTTGATTACCCCATGGATGTTGTCAGATTAAATCATGACTGTTGTCTAAATTAAACCATGACTGTTATCTAAATTAAACCATGACTGTTGTCTAAATTAAACCATGACTGTTGTCTAAATTAAACCATGACTGTTGTCTAAATTAAACCATGACTGTTGTCTAAATTAAACCATGACTGTTGTCTAAATTAAAAACGAATTTGACTGCTGGAACATGACTGTTGTCTAAATTAAATTAGAAAATGACTGTTGTCTAAATTAAACCATGACTGTTGCTGTCTAAATTAAAATCCATGACTGTTGTCTAAATTAAACCATGACTGTTGTCTAAATTAAACCATGACTGTTGTCTAAATTAAACCATGACTGTTGTCTAAATTAAACCATGACTGTTGTCTAAATTAAACCATGACTGTTGTCTAAATTAAACCATGACTGTTGTCTTAATTACCCCATCGGTGTGTCACGCTGAGAATAATAAAATTGAGTGTCTTGGCGACTGCTGGAACATCTGAGCTGTGTACTGTACCCCACTCGGCACAGACAGGGTTTACAAACTTTGAACAGCTGTACACAGTTGTACAAAATTGAGTTGACAAGTCTCAAATAAATGTACCCAGTATTAGAAAATAAGTTGGCAGGTCACAAAAAACTATAAAGTTGTACAAGAATGGTGAAGTTGTCAACAACTGTAGCCAGTTTGCTGTGACATTTGCGGAGTCACCTCCAACACTAATCGCACCCGGCTAAAATAAGCCAGACTTGCAGGGAAACAGACAAAAACCAATTCTCCTAAATGGAAGTTAAGCCTGGATTAAGGCATGTTCAGTGAGTGCACTGTCTGCCATGTCGGCCCAGCTTTCACTTTGAGCATACTAGTTGGAACAGTGATGTGTGTATGGTGGTGAGACTAGTTGGAACAGTGATGTGTGTATGGTGGCGAGACTAGTTGTAACAGTGATGTGTGTATGGTGGTGAGTTGTAAACAGTTGTGTGTACAGTGATGTGTGTGATGTGTGTATGGTGGTGAGACTAGTTGTAACAGTGATGTGTGTATGGTGGTGAGACTAGTTGTAACAGTGATGTGTGTATGGTGGTGAGACTAGTTGGAACAGTGATGTGTGTATGGTGGTGAGACTAGTTGTAACAGTGATGTGTGTATGGTGGTGAGACTAGTTGTAACAGTGATGTGTGTATGGTGGTGAGACTAGTTGGAACAGTGATGTGTGTATGGTGGTGAGACTAGTTGGAACAGTGATGTGTGTATGGTGGTGAGACTAGTTGGAACAGTGATGTGTGTATGGTGGTGAGACTAGTTGGAACAGTGATGTGTGTATGGTGGTGAGACTAGTTGTAACAGTGATGTGTGTATGGTGGTGAGACTAGTTGGAACAGTGATGTGTGTATGGTGGTGAGACTAGTTGTAACAGTGATGTGTGTATGGTGGTGAGACTAGTTGGAACAGTGATGATGTGTGTATGGTGGTGAGACTAGTTGGAACAGTGATGTGTGTATGGTGGTGAGACTAGTTCGATAAACACTGTGATGTGTGTATGGTGGTGAGACTAGTTGGAACAGTGATGTGTGTATGATGTGAGACTGTTGTGTGTATGAGACTAGTTGGAACAGTGATGTGTGTATGGTGGTGAGACTAGTTGGAACAGTGATGTGTGTATGGTGGTGAGACTAGTTGTGAACAGTGATGTGTGTATGGTGGTGAGACTAGTTGGAACAGTGATGTGTGTATGGTGGTGAGACTAGTTCGAACAGTGATGTGTGTATGGTGGTGAGACTAGTTGGGAACAGTGATGTGTGTATGGTGGTGAGACTAGTTGGAACAGTGATGTGTGTATGGTGGTGAGACTAGTTGGAACAGTGATGTGTGTATGGTGGTGAGACTAGTTGGAACAGTGATGTGTGTATGGTGGTGAGACTAGTTCGATCAGTGATGTGTGTATGGTGGTGAGACTAGTTGGAACAGTGATGTGTGTATGGTGGTGAGACTAGTTGGAACAGTGATGTGTGTATGGTGGTGAGACTAGTTGGAACAGTGATGTGTGTATGGTGGTGAGACTAGTTGGAACAGTGATGTGTGTATGGTGGTTAGACTAGTTGGAACAGTGATGTGTGTATGGTGGTGAGACTAGTTGGAACAGTGATGTGTGTATGGTGGTGAGACTAGTTGGAACAGTGATGTGTGTATGGTGGTGAGACTAGTTGTAACAGTGATGTGTGTATGGTGGTGAGACTAGTTGGAACAGTGATGTGTGTATGGTGGTGAGACTAGTTGGAACAGTGATGTGTGTATGGTGGTGAGACTAGTTGGAACAGTGATGTGTGTATGGTGGTGAGACTAGTTGGAACAGTGATGTGTGTATGGTGGTGAGACTAGTTCGATCAGTGATGTGTGTATGGTGGTGAGACTAGTTGGAACAGTGATGTGTGTATGGTGGTGAGACTAGTTGGAACAGTGATGTGTGTATGGTGGTGAGACTAGTTGTAACAGTGATGTGTGTATGGTGGTGAGACTAGTTGGAACAGTGATGTGTGTATGGTGGTGAGACTAGTTCGATCAGTGATGTGTGTATAGTGGTGAGACTAGTTGGAACAGTGATGTGTGTATAGTGGTGAGACTAGTTGGAACAGTGATGTGTGTATGGTGGTGAGACTAGTTGGAACAATGAAATGTGTATGGTGGTGAGACTAGTTGGAACAGTGATGTGTGTATGGTGGTGAGACTAGTTGGAACAGTGATGTGTGTATGGTGGTGAGACTAGTTGGAACAGTGATGTTTTTATGGTGGTGAGACTAGTTGGAACAGTGATGTTTTTATGGTGGTAAGACTAGTTGGAACAGTGATGTGTGTGTGGTGGCGAGACTAGTTGGAACAGTGATGTGTGTATGGTGGTGAGACTTGTTGGAACAGTGATGTGTGTATGGTGGTGAGACTAGTTGGAACAGTGATGTGTGTACGGTGGTGAGACTAGTTGGAACAGTGATGTGTGTACTGTGGTGAGACTAGTGGGAACAGTGATGTGTGTTAGGTGGTAACATTGGTTGCTGTTCTCTGTCTGACAGATGAAACAGAAGGAGGCTGCGTACATGAAAGCTTTGGCAGACGAGTGGAAGAAGAGGGACACAGAGAGGGAAATTCTCACACAGAAGAAAGTGAGTATGTGTCTACTCTTGTTGCCATGTGTTGAAATATGTATCTGTGTCCTTCACTGCTCTCTCTCTCTCTTTTTTTTTTCTTGCTTGCTGTTGCATAAATGCATATATGTATAATCATAGTTCATACTTATGTGTGTACGTGTACTTATACATCCAAAAACCAGATGCCAGCTCAAGGTCTCTTAGATCTCCCCAAAGCTTAGTTGCCAGGTCAGCTGGGTGCGGCCACGTGTTTTACAGATCCTCCAAGAGGGGACAGTCTTGCAAGACATGTTCTGGGGTCTGTTATTTTGCCTGAGGACACTGGCAGAGAGATGTCTTATACCTAATTTATATGTGTTTTTGTTGAATTGCATATCTGGTGTGTGAAGCAAAAGACTCTGACCTCATCTATTCTTTTGAGATGTTTTAAGAAAAAAAATTTATAAATAATTTGGAACAATTTTTTTTCCCGAATTCAGGGAAATTTGCACTTTTGATGAACAAATTATTTAACCAACCGGTATTTTTGTCAGAAAGTTTGACAAGGAGAATCTTGAGTGAGTAATTCTGATGTTCTGTTTGTAACAACAGCTGACAGAGTACAAGCAGATGGAAGATCAGTTGAGAGCAACTTTGACAGATCTGGAGAGACGCGAGAAAAAACTGGCAATCAGTGAGCATGAGGTAAGATGTCTGCTGTTATTTTTTTTTTCTTGACTGTGACACACTTGTTACTAGCTGTCTGTCATGTATTGGTCATACACGACTGACCTATCTTATAACAGCCATCGGTAGTACCTGTTGTCTGCAAATGTTGGGCTGTATGTACCAAACCTGCAATCCCACTTTTGCCAGAAACTTTAGGTAGAGAAGCACATTAGGGCAGATACGAGCCTTGTCCTAGGAAACAGAAATAAAACCAGAAAACTTCATGTTATGGTGGGGCAGACCAGGCTCCTGGCTTTGGTTGGCTACAGGTTCAGCAGGGCAGACACAAGTACTGCTTTTTGACACAGCAGCTTCTTCTTTTTGACACAGCAGCTTCTTCTTTTTGACACAGCAGCTTCTTCTTTTTGACACAGCAGCTTCTTCTTTTTGACACAGCAGCTTCTTCTTTTTGACACAGCAGCTTCTTCTTTTTGACACAGCAGCTTCTTCTTTTTGACACAGCAGCTTCTTCATTATGCTTTTTTCTAAACACACTGGTGCTACCTTTCCTTTGGAGTAAACAAGGCAGGCTGAGTGAGAGATCATGCTGTATGGGCAACAAATTATCTCTATAATACTGGTCAGGCTTTAAGCCATGGAGAGAAATAACAACCTTTGACCTCAGACATTGTCTGACGATAGTGTGCACTCTGACAATTAATTTATATTTATTTGTTAATTCAGAGGATATTTCCTCAAGTCCATGTGATGTGTCTTTGGTCGTTATCCACAGCCTTCTGTTAGGTGTACGGCCAGTCATACTAACATCTTTTCTCTTGGCACCTTCTCCAGCTTTTCTATTGTCCTAACAGTTTCCCCTTTCTTGTGTAATGCCCAAAGAATATGACCGTCTCCTTCTGGTGTGGGTAACACACTGTTTATCTAAGTTCATTTCTTTGAAGTCATCTTTATTATGCTTTTTATTTGCCCATGTTTTCATCATTCGAATTTACAGCCACATCATTACAGCTTGCACTTCCATTCTCACTAATTTGCTGTGTTTATGCAGCGCCAGATTTCTTTGCAGGTATATACACAATAGGTTGACTACCTTTCTGTGAGGCCTTTGTTTGGGCAGATTGTCCTAGTCATTGTTTGTACCTACAGGGCATCATCAGAGATCAAGAGTGATGAATAGTTCTGAAAACTTTTCAGCTGTTGACCACTTGTATCCATGACTTGCCTGACTTCTTATAGTCCTGATACCTGCTCACCAGGTCTGCTCCAGGCTAGAGGGGCTATTGGCAGTTGGCCAGCCTCTTTGCATAGAGAAACCAAACTATGATAAAATCTGACGTGATAAAGTCAGTACTGTCATTTTTTATTGTTATCTTTAAGTCTGCTATCATATGTTTAATCTGAACATTTATTTCTTCTGTTTATGGTCACTGCAGACAGTTGTTACTTATGTTTGTATCGTTGTTGTTGTTGATTGTATCTAAATCAGTTTATGATTGAGTGGTTTGCTCTGCAGGTGATGAAACTAAGGTCAGATCTGCAGCGGGAACATGACCGCAAACTGCAGGAGATGAAGGAAGCATCCAGAAGAATGAAAGAAGACTGCGACCACCAGGTGGAGTTGCAGAAGTATGTGCATTTTACCTCAGCTTGGGTGATAATGTTTATATTGACCAAGTTTGTTTTCTCCCCAGCTAGCATGTGTCTGAGAGTGGTAATCACATTTCTCTGTCCTCCCCTCCACCCCCCAGCTAGCATGTGTCTGAGAGTGGTAATCACATTTCTCTGTCCTCCCCTCCACCCCCCAACTAGCATCTGTCTGAGAGTGGTAATCACATTTCTCTGTCCTCCCCTCCACCCCCCAGCTAGCATCTGTCTGAGAGTGGTAATCACATTTCTCTGTCCTCCCCTCCACCCCCCAGCTAGCATGTGTCTGAGAGTGGTAATCACATTTCTCTGTCCTCCCCTCCACCCCATAGTCACTAGTGATACTTGTTGTTTGTAGGCCTGGCCCATGTCTAGCATTGTTCTTGTTTGTTACGTTCCCATCATCACAGAGCAGTGTCAACCAGTCAAAACTGCATTGTGACTTTGTTGCTGGTACTTTTTTCGATTATTCATTATAGGCTTCGTTTGTAAATAGTTTTTAAGTTTAGTGTATCAATTAAGTAAAGACCTCTTGTCATGCCATTGGCCAATAGACTGGTGATGCTGGACTCCTACTGTTGTAGACCAGGTGACATTCAGTGTGTCATGTCATCAACATCATGTTTGATACCCTTACTTCCAAGGATATTTCATTGGCCTATTTGAGGCCGTGTCTTCCTCCTTTAGAAGTCAGTATAATTGATCCTGATCACACAAACATCCAGACTGTCACGGCATACATACTCCTTGCCACTATTTAAGACATACACTCAGCACCACACGTTTTATTTAGGTAGACTTGGCACACACAAGAAAGCTATCATTTTTTGCTTTAATTTTCTTGAAATCCAGATATTTTGTACCAGTTAATTCTGGTCACAGACAGTTTTGTTTTTAACTGAGTTATCTCCACAGTGAAGATTGGCTCTAATGTATCTACCATTCTTCTGCTTCTTCTCGTTTCACTGTAGCTCAGTTTCCTGGTTTTCTGTATGTGTCTTGCGCTTTTCGGGTGGCTTGGCTGATGGATTTGTTCATCGTTTTTCAGGTTTCTGCTACACCTTTTATCCATATCTTTCTTGGTCTTCCTTTCGCCTTCCTCCAAGATGTTTTGCTGTAAAAAGTTTCAGATGAAGTTTGGTCTGGCTGCATTCTCACTAGATGGCTGAACCATTTCGTTCTTTTTCTGTCAATATAATCCAGACATGGTCTTATTCCAACTTTCTCTCTAACGCTGGTATTCGTAACCCTGTCTCTTCTTGTGTTGTTAGTAACCTTGCGGAGACAGCACATTTCACATGTCGTTATTTTATGTTCTAGTGTCCTATTCATTGTCAGTGTTTGGCACTGATAACATAAAGTAGGGATAAAGATGCTATTATCATTTGCTGTTTTGCTGAAAGGGAGACATTTAAGTGTCTAAGCAGTGGGGCTAACTGGTAGGTGACAGCATTTGCCTCCACTGTTAACTGTGGTTATCTTACATGCCAAGGCCCAAATCTCTTTCACAGTGCAACTCTCTTTCCACTGTCTGTAGGCCATTGGAACAGTTTTTTTTCTAAACCACCTACCACAGGAATCGAACCCTGCCAAATGTCAAAGATGACTTTGTGAAGCGACCTCACTAACCTTAACACCACAAAGACAGGATCGTTATGCAACTGTGAACTCATTGTCATCCTGTGTATCTTACTTACATTCTGACAACACAAGACATCGGCTGTGACAGATAGTTGTAAACATTCCATCACCTGTATCTTGTTTACATTCTGACAATACAAGACATCGGCTGTGACAGATAGTTGTAAACATTCCATCACCTGTATCTTGTTAACATTCTGACAACACAAGACATTGACTGTGACAGATAGTTGTAAACATTCCACCACCTGTTTATTGAACATTTTGTTTGTTTCAGAATGAAGTTAAAAGAACTTGAGGAAATCACTAACAGATATAAACAGGAAGTAAGTAATTCAACATTTTTTATCTCCACCTCTAGTTTTGTTTCAATAACATTATTTTGGAAATAATCTGCCTTGTGAAATTTACTACCCACATATTTTATAGACTGTTTTGGCTCTTGATGGGTGATGGACTATTGTGGCGGGTAACTTCGCTTTTTACTAGCGACTGCACTATGTGCACTTTACAGAGGGAACTACAAACAGTGAAACATCATAAAGTCTTATAGTAACCCCAGCCTTGCTGGTTAAATGAGAGGATTCGGGGTTTGCCCACATCTTATTCCCTACTGTAATTAATTGTATATTTTGTTCACTGACACACTTACAGTTAAAATGAAACTTCAGAAAACTGTAAGAACATTAAAACTACATTTATTAGGATTTTCAATTCAATATAAATTCAAATGATAACTAAATGGCTGTGGATAAAATCCGGTTATAAAGGTTAGTGATCAACTGTCCACTTAGCTGTAGCTTATGTCAGCTTCTGGCTAAGCCTCGGTGACACATCAGGCAGGCCGAATCTTCCAGTCCAGTCCAGACAATCGGCATCTGCAGCTACTTATGGATTTACTTATGGATCTTCCACCTGGACTACAATCTGGAACTAGAACAATAGAACAGTCCTTATACAAACAGTCAGGAAAGTTCTAACTGGAGACAACAATACCTCCAGTCTTTAAACTGTTACACTACACATATATATATATGGAGTGGGGCAGTATCAGGTGTTCACATTCTACTGGTATAGAATGGGAATGTGTACAGAACATGGTCCATAATCCTGATGGGGAAATATTTAGGGAACCAGTTTCATGAATACTCTCAAGAACAAGAGTTTACATCACACAAAAAGAAAGGACATTCCTCAGTGTAAATTGTTCTGATGTCTGCACACTAGTACTCCTTTAAAGGGTTAACATGCTTACACACACAGACATACACAGTCATATTTCACAATATTCTCATTTTAACCACATGGGTTCACATCACAATGAATGAGAAACAGGGAGTGAGTTTACCAAGACCAGGAACTCATAACAGGTGCTTTGCACTGTTTGAAAATAAATGGGATTGACATATCTCCATCAATATACTGGGTGCTGGGATAGATGTCAAAATACAATCATAGATGACAATGGGCTTTCCATCTGTCACAGTAATAACATAAAATATACAACACTCACTCCAGTTTGGATCTAAATCCACACATGTACTAAATCTTATTCAGTAGAGTTTAGAAGTTGTAAAGGTTGAAATATAATTATTACAATTGTAAGGCCACCTGCTGTAGAACTGAAATGTATTCCTAGTAATAGGGAAATATATATACAACAATAATAATTACAAGCATGGGCCATACATCTTTCTTTTTCTCTGACAGTGTGAATATTAAATTCAGCCTCACTGTGGTATTCACTTTCCAAGCTCTTAAACTAGTCTTAGAATTATCTGGACTAAATCTAAATTAAAGCCATACAGTGAGTTATCAAGCTAATATCACCATGAGGTAAAAATCAACTTAGTAGGGATTAGGTATAATGGATATACACTTCATTCCTATTTTTAATTGTCTCACTATGCTGGAAACCGGAACTGGTCGAGATTTTACATGAGGACATAATTCTCACCTAATTAATATAATTATAATTATTAAAAATACCACTGCACGTTTCTAGTATCAAATAAACATTAATTCAGTCATCAAATAGATATGTTTGCATACATGTACATACTAGATCATAAACGTGGTTAGTGAGGATAAAGAAATTTATCATAGTTTTTAAGCCATGTGGGGCATCAAATTTCATAATTCAGCAGATAAAATTAATTCAGAGGAATAATATCAATAGCTCAAATTACACTAATTATTATAAACTCACCCCTGGTAGGGAATTCAAACAAAAAATTGGACCACAGGCGGACTAACAACTTTAGTCTGAACCGGTCAATTTCTGAATTGAAAAGGGAACAGGAAGTCTTTAAAAAGGTGGAAGTAACTCTTCAGTTCCCCTTGACTAATCATCTCATTCGCCTTAATTACCTTTCAACTCTTTAATTATAATTTTGCTCCAATGAAGCATTAAGAAAGGGGTAAGAAATTTCTTAATTAATCCAGTGTTATTATGCTAATTAAAAGCAATAGGAAAATGTTTAGAATTTTGGTAATAATATTATCTAAACAAAGTACTTTAAAAGGGCAGAAAACAGCTGTCCAGACCAGCTCGTCACAACTATCACATCCACCTGTGCTGTCATATCCACCTGTGCTTTCACATCCACTGTGTAATCACATCAACCTGTACTGCCACATATACCTGTACTATCACATACACCTGTGTTATCACATGCATCTCCTTTACTTCCAAGATATTTCCTGGTACCCATTTTAGGCTTTGTCTAGGAGCACTGTTAATTTAAAATCATCTCTAGAGGAGGGTTTGAACAGACAACGACCAAACCTGTAGATAAATCAGCTGGTCAGTGCACCAACAGGGTTTGAGAAGGCTGTGTTGGCCACCAGTAAAATCCAGAACACAAAGATTCAAGTGTACTGAGAATCTGACATATAGATTCAGGTATATTGAGAATCTTACACATAGATTCAGGTGTACTGAGATTCTTACACATAGATTCAGGTGTTTTGAGAATCTGACATATAGATTCAGGTGTGTTGAGAATCTGACACATAGATTCAAGTGTACTGAGAATCTGACACATCAGTTCATATGTAATTAGAGTCTGATGCTTAGATTCAGATGTACTGGGAAGCTGGCACATAGATTCAGCTGTATTGGGAATCTGATACATAGATTTAACATATTGAGAATCTGATACATAGATTTAACACTTGGATGATGTCAGTACAGCAGTTATGATCTTCCTACAGCTCCATGACAGTGAGAAGAAGTACAAGGCCCTGGAAAAAGAGTTCCTGACGTACAAGGAGAACCAAACCAAGACTCCAGAAGTACGACTGCAATCAGAGATCAACTTGCTCACCATGGAAAAGGT